TCTACGAGTAACGGGTATAAAAAGAATCGCGGATTGCCGTTGAATTCAGAAATAGAAGTCAAGAATGAGAAGTGTACGAATAATTTGCGTGCGTAAAAAAATGTATATTTTTGCTGAGGATCAATAGCCAATTCAATTTAGCCAAATCTGTTTGTCCGCCTTTCCGTCTGTTTGTATTAACGCTGGTCTATAAGACATAAAAAATTCAGATATAAAAAGTTTAGAGATAAAACCAGATCACCTCAAGGTAGTATCCTGATACGATCACTCTTACGCACACCAATCATCTGTAGGAAGAGGACGCACCTGAAATTTTAAGTATAGAAGGTTCGGTATTAAGCATGCAGATTCCATTCCGCATATGGCCACACCCTCTATAGGAACTAGAATTCTGAGATTCAGCAGGTACTTTCTTGATTAGGCTGCATTGCTCAAGGTGGTTTAATTTTCCTGCTACGGTTACTCTAACCCTTTTTGTAGGAACGTGGAGATCTTAGGAACTACAAATAATTGAGACGAAAGTGGATTAATCAAGTCTAATTTAGAATTGTTAACTTCATAAAGTGGCCCGCAGCATATTTCTGCTAAATTAAAAATAAATAAACAAATTTAAACGAAGTTCTTTTTAACTGGGAATATTAAGATGTTTAATAAAGTGAAGCGATTTTCATAATCATAAAATAAAAATAAATTAATTAATTTATTAAAAAACATTTTCAGGCTTTTCCATGCCGTAGCTTATTTCGTGCAGCAGATTCTACTTAACTTATTATTTGTAACAGCTAATATTTTGAAGTCACATCGAAGACTCTCGGTTGTAATTTCCTGTTAATGTCATTATAAGTAATATATTTTCGCTTTTAATTACTGATCGACCAAAAGTTCAATTTTCGATTTGGGTATCGAAAACGATCAATTTCTTGCTTTCTGCTTTTTGACTGTCAAGACAAGCTCAAATGCAGTGTTGCGGGTTACGAGACTTAGATTGATGCTTGCTTAAGGCGAGGCCAGACCGACAAGAGCGCGTAAAAGTCGATCAAAATGATGGTCATTATGGCAGTTTTTTCCTATTAGTGCATTCTTACCACCTCACCAAACTGCTGATAAAAAATATTATTTGAGAGTTATCATATAAGCCAGCAATTTTTGGTTTTTGCGTCGCAACTGCACTTGTACATACATAATTCGTAATCAATTCGGCGTAATTTGCTCTGTGCGTGGCTATTCCCAAAACTCAAAAGACCACTTCGAGGAATGCGTTTCAAGTCGATTAAGGAAATAAAAACTGAATCGAAGAAGTCGCTGATGGCTATAGTGAAAATGGACCTTTTTGCATGTTTTGAGAATTTAGGTGCATTTTATCAGGAGGTGAATACATTAAAGTCTAGAAAATTGATTTAAAAGAATAGGATTTAAAGGCGTGACTTATAGATTGGGCACAGTTTTATTATTATTCCCAATGCAATCTTCGTATATGCTACATATACTTGCTCATTATCATACCGTCTGAATGGGTCAATGTCACTACCACCTGCTTGTTCGTGAAAGCTCTCCACCATTTAAAGTTTTACAAATTTTACGAATTCGAACTGTGCCTCAAAAAGCGGTCCATAGATGGCGCTGTTGGACAAGCGGGCCGACCTTCTTTCTGCCCCCACGCACTTACCCTGCCGTTCGCATGAACACTAGTACCATAACATTTTCCCAGGCGTCGCACTATCACATTTCCGGCCGAAGCGTTCGGCTGTGGTGGGTTCTCCCAACGTAATGTACGCTCCATCCGTGCGAAGTTGTGCGCCAGACGCGACGCCGCTGCATTAGTCCGCGCTCAGACGTCATCGGAGGAAAACCAAGCTAGCTCGGCTCGGTCTCGCGAAGTGCTCGATACGAACGGCACAATCTAACCCACGCGCGTACGGAGTAGGAAAACGACTAAGAGCCATTTGTAAAATGATCTGCTAGTCAAATTTCGAAATCATAGCAAATCGAGCCTTTGATGAAGGCCTCTATGGATTAGTAAAGCTGGCCAAGTGAACTCATCTTTTTCTCTAGTTCCTCACATGTTTTCCAAGGCAACGATTTCTTCTGTATCTGTTTTCCGCTAAAATCCAACAGCCGCCTGTAATTAACGGGTCCATAAGACCCGTAAGCCATAGAGAGTGAACCTCCGTCGCACCACCAGACATTAGTGAAAATGGTAAAAAGTGATTATGAAATGGCCCGCAAGGTGCAATCCTAAAACGCTGAGCCTTGTTAATCCCATCCTTTAGCTTAATGCAAATTGCACGTCAATTGTTAGCATGCATTCTTTTTTTTTTTTTGGAGAATAAGGCTCAAATCAAAAAAAGCACAAAAGAAGCGCTTTGCTTTTTCATGTTCCATTGTTTTGCGTCGCTGAAAGAAAATATGAGCGTGTATGATGTAAGCCGAGCCACTGCGACACCAAGTCACCGACCCACAAAACCACCACTCTCTGCTCTACAACCGCTACTTTCTCCTCGTCTATTTAGTTTGCATAGCTATTTATTTTTATAAGATGACGCCGTCATCGTGAAATCTCACTAACCCGTACCCAATATCCCTTACCCATACCCATCAAGCCCCTTTCCATTTCTACCCCAAGATATGGCAACAACAGCATCATCAGTAACAACAACAGGAACTAACGACAAAAGTCAAGCGAAAACCGTACGCTATCCCGCTCTTGCAACCTTACCCAACGGCGCTTGAGAATGAGGGAGAGGAATGCAAAGGCGGTGGCGTCGACGAAGGAGGGGGCCTTACTGTAAATCGATATTTTGCGGCATGACCGAGTGGCCCAAAAGGGAGGCACTGGGTTTACGCTTACGGTGGTGTGATGTTTTTGGTTTTGTTAGTCACTCTGTCAGACAGACGCCGCCGTGGTCTTTACATCCCGCTCCGCACTCATAACGATGCTTTTGCTATATATCCTATGGCCGTTCGTATTTAGTTGAAAAGTCCCCACTTGCTCTCATCACTAACTCTCTTTAGAGAGAGGAAGAGAGAGCCCCCAACGCTATAGCAATTACTTCATATTTGGGATGTTATCAAATCAGCGGCAGTCTCAACCACATTGTCGTGAAAAATTGTGCAAAACGAAGCATGGACACTCCTGTTGCTCCAAGCAATATAATTCTTATGGTGTTGCATGATAAATAATGGATCTGGGACTGTTCCTCACCTTAGTATACTAGTGCACTGTGCCAAAGAGATTGTACTAAAACAAACGTGATAGGAAAATCGGTTGGACAGAAGAGTGAAAGTATCAGGAACTATAAAAGCCCTAAATTTGGGATAAATAATTCATATTTTGAAGATTTTGCAACTCAATCTAAAAACACTACACTTCAAATAAGGAATTTTTGTTGGAATTTGGAATTTGTAGGAATTTGTAATTGGTAGCTTAGGCACACGACCTCAACAAGTCGTTAAAACTAATTTTAAAATATGTGCTTTTAATATCTTTAAATTTTTAATAGAAGCAAGTTTAAGTTTAAACAAGGTTAAACGCTATAGTCGAGTTATTGTTTTACACAATTTTAACATATTAATTATTCTAATGGAAATTCACAAAGCGCCACCTATTGTTAGAAAAAGCATGTTGAGTAACTGATAGTGACGTCACTGCCCAAGTGCGGCCTTATAACATACATTAAGCTCGTGTCGAGTTGGAGTAGCATCTCTAATCTCTAGCTCTTAAAGTTTTTTCATTTTTGGTTTTCCGGATTTTGTGGGCGTTAGGGTGGGCGTGGCTAGATAGGAAAAAACCAATTCGCATTGGAGGCATCATAAAAACCTATAGCTTAATCGGAACTCTCTATCACTTATATTTGGAGCTTGGTGGGAGTTAGAGTGGGCATTGCAGGATGCTGAAATAAACTTGCGCTGCGTATGGACCTCAAGAATCTTCATGCATATTCTCAACTTTGAATCTCTTATAGTTCCTGGGATCTCCGCGTTCATACGGACAGACGGAAGGACTGACATGACTCAATCGACTTCACTATTGATTCTTATCAAGAATATATATACTTTATAGGGTCGGAAACTATTCCTTCTACCTGTTACATATTTATTAACGAATCTATTATTGTTTATACCATTTTACTCTACGAGTAACGGGTTTTAAATTCTAAATGATTTCACAATGACCTCATTCTTCCAAAACAATTTATTTTGTATATTATTCAGACAATACTTTTTGAGTAGTTCCGATTTTTTTTACCAAGGGCAACATGTTTATATGGAAGTAAACACCAACGCAAAATCTCCCATTGTACTTCGTCACAACGTACAAGATCCCGTAAAGAACATTTGTCAATTAACCGGTCTGCACAACCGGTGTTATAGTTTTCTCAAACTCATAGCTTCTGTTAACAATAGTTAAAATAACATAGGTAACCATAGTTGAGCGCTTTTCCATGTTCCTTTCGTTTACCCTATGAAAAATACAATCAACCATTGAACTTTAAGTAAATACTTGTATGACTTTTTTTGGTTTGCTAGCTGCAGACTGTGCGCACCTTAAGCTGGTGTCAAATTTCATGTTGCAGGTAAAGCCTCAGTGTGTTTAAAGCCGCACCATCGGTCAATCGAAAGCAAAATATCTTGTATTGTGTTGCTTGTTCTTGCTCTTCTAGAAAATTGCGAGAGTGATCATGGCATCTTATTATTATGTCGTCTTTGTATCAAGAAAGACATCAAAGACATCACCTTCATTTACATTAATAGTACAATTTTACACGGCGTCAATTTTTGTTAGTAAAATCATTATTTAAATTCGGATAACACAGGAACGGGTATCTGATTGACGGGACCACAGAATATAGCGTTTTTTAGTTTTAATATTAAGATGCTGACATATTTCTTTAATATAAGCTATCTGCGCTGGAGACACGAGCTAAGATAATTTGCACATTGACTTTGCAGAATAACTGATCCGTTTAGTATAACCATTTATTTAAACCTCTATTTTTCAGATTGTACGTCGTCGATCGCGCCGCGCCCGCATGTGGAACATGGGACTATTGTTCCTAATCTACTACTGCGTGAGCATCTACTCCGCCAAAGGAGACTCCAAAGAAGGACAGCCCCTGCCACTGGATGTAGGCAGTCTGGCCGAAGACGCTGGCGACGTGGAGACTAACGAAGTGGATGCAGTAGAAGGCAACACACAGGAAAACTCTGTCCTGAACACCACTCCTGCGTTTGAGGTAAGTATTAAATTCACAAATTTCTAAATCACTCAAGACCCACTTCGTTACCGACAGGCGTCTACACAATCCACTCCCATCCATGGTGCTATACCAACTTGGCGCCCGAAGCGGGAGAACTGCACCCCCCCAGCGATCGAACAGTTTCCGCAACCGCTGATGAACAAGTGGGCGCGGCAACACGGTGGTCTCATCTTGCACATTTTGGTTGCCGTCTTCACCTTCTTTGGCCTGGCAATCGTATGCGATGAGTACTTTGTGGCCAGTCTGGATCGCCTCTGCGAGGGTGAGCTTAAAACCCTGTTTCACAGACATTTCCAGGGCTATTCTCTTAAACCCCAGAATGATTTCGGTATTAATATTCAGTATTTAAATTTATTGCAGCATCAATAGCCCGAGTCATATATCTATGTCCGTCTGTACAAAACAAAAAGCAATTTTCAAAGTGATCTTGGTTTTAATGTTTTCAGAATAAGCCAGATTGATATCTTAAGCTTCCTTGTCATTTTTAAACAAAAAACTTGAACTTAGCTTTTTATATAAGATTAAAGTTATTTTTAAGAATTATGAAAGTCGGATAAATATCATATCATACTTAACGGTCAAGGAGCAGGTCTTGATAAAATTCGAAAATATGTATTACTTTTTTGCTTGACATATTTACATACCGGAGGTACATATCTAGTCTAAGCAAATATAAAAACAATTTTTAGTTTCATTGACTGCAATAAAAGAGGAAACGCTATAGTCGAGTGCCGCGACTATAAGATACCCGTTACTGTTTTACACAATTTTAAAATATTCATTTTGCTAATGGAAATTCCCAAGTAGCGAAATAATATTCCGATTTGAAAAATCTTTGGTAAATCGATAGACATTAACGAAAATAAGTTATACAAGGTCAATCGAAGGCATTCATAATATTATTATAGGCGCCACAGTTTTCCGCGGTTTGTGGGCGTTGGCCGGATGAAAACTCGTGGCAAGTTGCAGTGTCATCTCTAAAATACATATTCCTAAGCCTAACTTTCTAGCTCTTATAGTTTCCGAGATTTTTGAATTTTTGGTTTTTCGCGTTTTGTAGGCGTTATGGTGAGCGTGGCTAGATGGAAAAAACACAATTCGCTTTTGGGGCATCATAAAAACATACATGCTTAATCCGAATGTTCTAACACTTATAGTTACCGAGATATCAGGTTTTCTTAAAAATGCGAAAACCGTCTTTTGAGCTTGGTGGGCGTATGGGTGGGTGTGGCCGGATAATACCACTTCAAGATGCGCTGACATCCAAAGATTATAGATACTGAATTTTAACTTTCTAGCTCTAATAGTTTCTGAGATTTCAGCGATTTTAATTTTTCGAGATTTGTGGGCATTAGAGTGGGCGTGGAAGGATGCCGAAATAAACTTGCGCTGTCCAGGGACCTCAAGAATCTTCATTCTTAATCTCAACTTTATATCTGTTATAGTTCCTGAGATCTCAGCGTTCACACGGACGGACAGACGGACAGACGGGCATGGCTCTATCGCCTTCGCTATTGATCCTTATCAAGAATATATAATATATACTTTATAGACTCGGAAACGCTTCCTTCTATCTGTTACGTACTTTTCAACGAATCTAGTATACTCTTTTACTCTATGAGTAACGGGTATAATTATCTTGCAAGTTGAGTAGCCTATTTGCCCCCTATAATAGAATATTTTTACTACTCACAATTGTGAGTAGGAAGAATGAAGTGAGGCGTCTGTTCTACAACAATTTCATCTTCATTAAAGAATGGCCTCCGCAGCGCATTTTCATCGAAAAGCTGCTGACAATCATACAGAGGGTGATTTGGTGCAGCTCGTGGCGATCTGTCGCGTTATCTTTAATCTTTCGTCGTCTGGCGCCGTGGAAATACTTCAAAATTATTATGAGATTAATGCGGTTTTAAATAGTCAATGAGCTTACCACCAGTTCACAAATACCAACAAATGGCTCGATCACGATCACGACGATAACATTATATATTGATCGTGATCGAGATTTTGGCTATTGATGATCAGGATCCATTTACCATTTGTATCTTCATAGGGTCGAAAGAGGGTAGGTTTTACTGTAAGGATATTAATACTTCTGCTTTCCAAGGCAAGCATCCTTTTTTGTAACTATTGTCAATACTGATGGTACTGAAAAGGTCATTGAGAAATCTAATCAGAATCGCAATAGTTGTTATATATATTTATACATTTTAAAATAAAAAACTGGGGCTGTCAATTAGTACTATTCATTATGATTAATTTATAGAGTTAAAGCTTTCGCCAGATGTGGCGGGAGCCACGTTTATGGCTGCCGGGAGCTCGGCACCTGAGTTAGCGACTGTTGTAATAGGAGTGTTCTTTGCCAAGGACGACATCGGTATAAGTGGGGTCATCGGCTCAGCTGTATTTAATATCATGTTCGTGATATCCGTCTGCGCTCTGTGCTCGGGCACCGTTTGCCAGCTGAACTGGTGGCCCCTCGTGCGGGACTGTTTTTTCTACTGCGTCTCCATTCTGGTTATGCTGATAATTATCTTCAACGACGTCATATCTTGCGTAAGTTTAGAGGATAAATAAACCATTTTCGTACTACCCTTCTCTATTCTTTCAGTTTGAGTCCGTGGTTATGCTTCTTTGCTATGTAGGATACTGCGTAGCTCTCCACTTCAACACTGAACTAGAACGATGGGCACTGGGTCTTAACCTTCCCTTTAAGCTGCCCAGCAAGGAAGAACAATCGGCTCTGGTCACTTACAAGAACGTGCCGGAAAGCTCCTACACACAAGAAAGTGCTACCCAGGCAAAGGAACAACAAGTCCCAAAAAACATCGATACCAGACAAGCAGATCCACAAAACGACTACCAGAACTACAGCGATCCCAATGCGAGCTGGGACCCGAACGCTGCCTGGGGAGAGGACGGCCAGTCAAACCAAGTCACCAATCCCCCGCCACTTGACGATTGGGGGATAGGCCAAAGTGGGCAGGAGAACATGGGCTACAACGCCGACCATCCCGAGTCTGTGATCACTGGCGAAGCGGCTGCGGTCGTTCCCAAAAGTGGTGGCCAGGTGGTGTCCACTCAGTCATCTGACTACTATAAGTCGACAGACAAGCAGCGAGAGCAACGCCGTGATCCCCTAATCAGGCCCACGGAAGGTGGGCTGCCAGCTGTAATTTCTTGGTACGTGGTCTACCCTATCCACTTCCTCTGCAAGAAAACTATGCCTGACTGCCGACAGGAGCAGTATCGCAACTGGTACCCGTTCACATTCCTGATGTCAATGGTATGGATATCATTCTACTCCTACTTTATGGTGTGGATGATTACCGTGATAGGGTCCACGCTGGCCATCCCGGACACCGTGATGGGTCTAACGTTTGTGGCCGCTGGCGTGTCTGTCCCGGATGCCCTAAGCTCAATAGCCGTTATCAAAGAAGGTTTCGGCGATATGGCCGTTTCGAATGCAATTGGTTCCAATGTCTTTGATATCCTAGTGTGCTTAGGTCTTCCCTGGTTCATACAAACGGCTATCATAAAGCCCGGCTCCCACGTCAACGTAATTTCCAAGGGTATGTACTATTCCAGATATTCACCTACCTGCTTGAGTTTTTGTCTACCTTGTAATACTCGATCTATGTTCAACTTTTGGTATGTCTGGCATGAGTGTCCTAGTCATTCCCATAGCTAAAATAGCAGCACACGATGTGCTTTTTAAAGTTTAATATCTCAGTTCTCTTTCTCCCTTACTCCTTCTGGCTTTCTTCCCTATATCGATATCAGGACTAGCCTACTCTACTCTGTCACTCTTCTCCACCGTCGTCTTCTTAATCCTTTCGACGCACCTAAATGGGTGGAAGCTGGACAAGAGACTGGGAATTATCTTGATGATTTGGTACTTGTTCTTTATTACCCTGGCGTCGCTCTATGAATTAAATGTCTTCGGCTACATGAACCCACCCGAATGTCTCAGTGAGTATGCTCTATGGGTACTATCGTTTGTCCCCTCTTTAACCAGACTGATCCATTTCAGGTACTTACTAAAAACTCAGAATGTCAGCAAAGCACGTATATTTTCATTAGCAGCACTACGTATTGTTTATATATAAACGTACATGTAGAGTTGTTCATAACCGCAGCTAAAACCAACAAAACCAAACCAGACACAATGATTATGAGTAACATTTACAAAACCATAATTAGAGGAAAAAATAATACCTTAATGGCGTTTTACATGGATTTTTACATTGCACCAAACCAAAAAGATAAATTATATGAATGTACATGAATACAATATTACAATATTATGTAATACGTATTTATATAATACTTAGGTAACTAACAACGGTGATTCTCTCTAAATTGAGAAACTATTTTGTTCTATTTGGAATATTTCACATTCCACAGACGTGGAGTTAGTCTTAACTATCTGACTCTGATAGCTCCCGCGATCTCAGCGTTCAAACAGATAGGCTCTCATGACTAGATCGATTAGGCTTTATTTTAATTTTAATTTGAAGTAAGCTTAATTAATAAGCATTTTTCGTTAGCGTTGGTCAACGTAGTTGTCTTCAAAAAACTATAGTTTTGTTATTAATTTAAAACTAATCCTATTATGCTCAAACATAAAATGTTAATATCCCTAATCTGCTATTTTCCATTTCTTCCCATTAATAAAATTTTGTTTCAAACATTTTTTAATTTTTATGGAATATATTTTAAAAAAAACGTATCGTTTCATAATGAAGCATTCTCGTCTTACTAAAATAAAGATGAATTTACAAATGTTTTCAATAAAAGGTGGTAAGTAATTACGTATAAGATAAGGAAAAAGTTTCCCAATTCAGAGAGAATTGCATACATAAAAGAAAAGTAAACCTAGAGCAAGTGTAGCCACTGTAGATAGGGAGACAAATGTATGTAATTAAGAACAATAAAACATTAAAAATATGATATTGTTGCTAACGATTAAATATAGCAATGTAAAATGCCCTATATCACAATCAAATAGTTTTGCTATTTTTAAGTTGTTTGTATATACTTTTGAAAAGTCGCATTCTAAGAGTTTAATTAATTACAAACCATAATTTTACGGTTTATTGTAAAATGTTTTATTAACTATGACATACGCGGTCGTAGAAATATTTCCCGGTCTCAGTTTTGATAAAGCAAACGAAAATTTTAAAATTGACCAGATATGCAAAGTTATAAACTGTGGAACAAGGACAACGAATTTTGTTGCATTTTTTGTATCAAGAATTTATGTTTTTTTTTATCATATTAAAAAAAGTATTAACATTTCATGATTCAAGAATAACAAGTAAAAAACTCAAACTTGATTTTGATATAAATTCTAAGAAATGTATAACGATGGCAATTAATAGTGTCAATTTTTTATTGTAAATAAGATGCAGATATAAAATATTAATTATTCTATTTAACGCAGAGTAAACTATTCATGTCAATTCGTGCTGTAATTTATGTTCAGAACAAGCCCTTTCCCGTTCCAGTTTTATGGAATTTTCAATCTGATATAATACACGGTTCGTCATTACAAAACTATTATTTCGAAGGTTTCAATAACTCTTTCTGGGTAACTTAAAACATTTTTTGTATGGAACATATTAGTTTATATTGCTTAGAATAAAGCATCAGAAAGGGCTAGCATTATGGATTCAAAATGATATTTCATTTTATGCTATGGCAATTTAAATCAAACTTTACATCCCAGAATAGTGACGTTGAAGCTGGTGGGTTAACATTGCACGAAACAAGCAATGTCTGAAATATATAGTGTACACCTAGAATATATACATATGTATATACCAAAATATACACATACAGCACACCGATACTAACGAAGTGAGCACTGTAATATGGGCGCGCTCAAGTAATAGTGAAATAATACAAAACCGGCATATATACACATACATACATATTACAAAAAAGAACTTACATATATACATATACAAATTCTGATTCGAGGATTATGCTTAAACAAATTTAAAGGGATTAAATAGCCTTTGAAAAATTATTATATTAGCAACCCAAGTTCAAAACCAAAATAAATTAATCTCAAACTAAAAAACACAGCCTTATTTAAAAGAATTGTAGTGCTACCTTCCTTCAACATTTATGTTCTATTGAGGTCCTCTATAATCCAGTAGTATTAAATCAAAAACGTATAACAATTTTGTTAATTTCAAAATAAATATGTATTTTCAACAAATTATTTTAAACAAAGGTTTCCAAGGATAAAGTAAATATGTCACTCTTGGAACCTAATAATAACTACAAAAGTAAATCCGTTTATGTCTGATATAAATATGTATGTTGGTGGTTTCCCTTTATACGTTAGTGTTGCTCTATTAAATATATTGAATCCTTCTATTAGTAAAATGCCGCAAAAATAGTAAACCTTAAAAAAATCAAATATTAAAAAAAACAAATTATTTCCTTTAAATAGGTGAAAACGTTTTTAGCCAATTCCAAAAATATTAAATTAAAGAGCTCCAGCAACTCTTTATTTAATAATTCGAGATTTCAAAATTGAAAAGAGGTGGTACTACAGTTTTTATCATATGCATATATGTATAAAAATCAACGTTACAAAACAATAAATAAGAACAATCTCCTGTTAAATATACTCACTTAACATAAATATGTTGTTCTTCTTGCCAAGTGCAAGGTTCTTCCCTATTCTACAAAAAAAACGTATCCAGAAAGTGTTTGAGAATATATATATAAATTCATATACTTATGTATGTCACACAGCAAGCAGTTATATCAGTAATACATACAAACACAGATTTGATTTGAATATATAATTATTATTTTTGTTTATTATTATTATTTAAAAAAATTCGAATGAATTCAAAATTAACATATTTGTTAGTTTTAAATTCGATATACATATTTCGTGTTACCTTTAACTGTTAACTATAACTATTACTGAGAAGGATCCAGGTTTGCAGCAAAGGTAGACAGAATACTAACAATTAATTAAAACTCCCCTTTACAACAAATACAATGTGCAATAATTGTTACTTCAATTTACATTAAAAAAAAATTAAAAGTACTATACCAACCCAATACAATAAATGTTTACGCCTGAAATTTGTGTGGACTAACGCAGTTTAAAAATTAACTTCGGCCGGCAACCTATTCTTGTCAGTAAGATTGCAAACAAAACCATAAAAACTATTGCTAATATAGAAAACTGTTATTGTTATGTTTAGTCTTAAAATGAATTCCGAAAATAAAAGCATAGAAACAAAACATACAATTTGAGTTATGCCCGGTGTGTGGGTCATATATTTCGCAAATTTGAGCATGTTTTTAAATATATATTAATTTATTAAAAATTGATGACTTAAGAAAGATTATTTGTACCAATAAGGTACGCATGGAGGTACTTATGACTTCAGAAAGAGTATTTGTACCAAAGACATATGCATGGAGTTTGTTTTACTTACAGTAGCAAGCACAAACAAACATCCTGTATGCGCTAAAGGTACACATTTCCTTCTTAAACATATGTATATATTTGTACGATTGAAGCTGGTGCTTAATTAAAGTTTTTTAAAAACATATATATACATATATACTGTTTATCATTTCATAGTACATATATGTACATATGTTAACACGTATAAAAACTATCCACGTTATATAAAAATGCAAAAGGGAAATTTGATAATAATGGAAGTATGCTATGTTTTTAATATCATTTAAGTACATTGACATTTCTTTATTAAATTTTTCTTTTCATTCCAAATTCCTCGTTACATATGGGCTCTTAAAGCGGAAGCAAATATATAGGTAATAACAACAGTGGTCAACAAAATCAGAAGGAAGTGTTTTCTATACTTGGAACTTCGTATGAATGTCAACCTGGCAAGCCCAGCTGTTAAATACCGCGCACGCACTAAAGCTCTCTCACTCTCTTGCCCATTTGCCGCCTTCCAGCTTTCTCGTCACAGTGCCATCCGCAATAACCGTTACGCATACAAAGTCTCCGAGTCAAGAGCGGGGAAAGCTCTTTGGAGCTCCAGCCGTTTTCGATATCTTCCGCTCAGTCACCAGCAGCCGTCAGTTCACAGCAAAAGGTAGCAGCGTAAGCTGGCAAAAGCTGCTCCGGCTGAAAATACACTCTGGACTGTGCGTGTGTGCTGTGCTACCTGTTCTTTTGTTTGCTGAGCGTTTCCTCCGATAATAATTGTTGATTTGTCAATACTTGTCGCAAAGGAATTATATAACGCTCAATACCCTTGAATACATACTCGCAAAAGGCATGGCCACAAACCGCTAGAAATACAATTTTAAATTCCTCCCTATGTCATAAACCTATGTACATATATGCCTATATACAGTGTTTTCTTATGGTTACATACATATGTATGTATGCGCTAAGAAGCGTTGTTTACGAGCGATAAGGCGAAATAGTTAGGTCACTAGCATCGGGCTGATAAGAACTTTTTCAAACGCGTCCGGGAGACATAAAAAGTCTGCTTTGTTGACGATTTCGCTTCGGGGATAGATTTAGTAATCAATTCAATTCCATACTGATAAGATACTTTGCAACCACAGCATATTAGACCTGACCATGAGCCCCCTACCCCGAGTCAACATAGACGAACCGAAATATGATCAGAATGCGTATTTGGGAAGGGTCAAGCACTTCTTCCTGCTGACCAACCCGCTGAATGTTCTGGCCTCCGCCTCTAAATTGGAAGAAGCTCGCCAGATCGTGCTGAAGTATCGCGCTGGTAAGGAATAAAAAGTAATCAGCCAAGATGGTAAATCTAATACTAACTTATTCAAGGCAAGGATGTTCCGGAGTGTAAGACAATTGACGACGTGTGGCGCGCCAAGTACCTGTACGATTCCGCTTTCCACCCGGAGACGGGCGAGAAGCAGATAGTCATAGGGCGCATGGCTGCGCAGATGCCCATGAACACCATAATCACCGGCGGTAAGTGTGGCGATGTTTTCGGGCTCAATTGACGCCATTTGTACTATTCGTTTCGGCGCTGCTAATTAACTTAAGCATAATAATAGCGAAACTTTTATCTAGGAATGATGGCATTCTACAAGAGCACTGCCTCTGTTGTCTTCTGGCAGTGGTTCAATCAGACATTTAACGCTATAGTAAACTACACGAACCGTTCGGGCACCTCGCCCATCAGTCAGCCGTATGTACCGATCCGTAGCCGTAGCCACCATTAATAAGTTCATCTCCCGCCTAGACAACTGATCACCTCTTATTGCCTGGCGACCAGCGGAGCCTTGGTCACGGCCCTGTCTCTAAACAGGGCGGTGAAAAATATGAATCCACTATTGGGCCGCCTGGTCCCCTTAGTGGCAGTCGGAGCGGCAAACTGCATCAACATCCCATGTATGAGAATGCAGTAAGTACCTTTTATTATATGTTTTGAAAAATAGTGAAGGATTCTTTAAACTATTTTGATAATAGAATAGTAGGTATCTTGCTGCACTTAAGATAAACTAAGCTCAAATGATTAATAAGTAAAGTGCACATGCATATGTAAAACGTACATTGATTAACTTCTCGCCATGTAAAAAATATTCTTTGACGATACGTTGCTGTATTCATAAATTTTTAAATAATTATACTGTAAGCATATAAATTGATGACATTATGAAGGATTATATTATAACATAAGGCCTAGTAAATATAGTTCGTAATAATTTTAATAATCAATATAGAATTTATTGAAAAAATGAAATGTCGGGTATTGTTTAATATATATTTATTTTAAATATATTTATAAAATTTATATGTATATTTTAAAATTTAACAAAAATGAAAGTTTTAATCAAAAATGCTATTAATATTAAGCAAATTTTTAATGAAAATATTCCTTTATTAAAGGGAGTTGCGGAACGGTGTTACGTTACTGGATGAGGGCAACAACGAAATGGGCGTCTCCAAAAAAGCTGCTGTTCTGGGTATCTCGGCCGTTATCCTTAGTCGAATCGCCATGGCTATACCAGGAATGAGTAAGGGCATTGTAGGACATTTGACAATGACGAATACCCTTAATATCTTTCCAAAATTTCAGCTCTAACGCCGGTGCTTATGAATACGCTCGAGAAGAGGGGATTTTTGGCCAAATACCCCAGGTCCAACGCCCCTATTCAAACGCTATTTTGCGGTTTCGTGTTGATTTTCGCCACGCCCCTCGGCTGCGCATTCTTTAAACAGCGAGCAGCCATCAAGGTGGACAGTCTGGAGTCGGAGGTGCGTGACAGCATCAAGAAGAAACGTCCGGATTTGGAAACCGTCTGGTTCAACAAGGGCCTGTGAGCCTTTGAATTTTTCGAGCTTAACGAAGACAATATTGTTATTTATTTACTCACCTTGCATTTATTAGTATTTTGCCTATTGAGTTTCGTATGAAATACTCATGTTTTTTTTGAACGCACAATTTTAACCGTTCAGAGCAAGGCGGTAGGGATTGAGTTACACAGCGTAAATGTAAAAGATATCAAAATAAATCATGTTAACTGTTAAATTTAAACTTCGTTTACGAAATAACTGCACGAAAGTAATTTCTTAATGAGTGGCGTTGCTCACAATCGCGCAAATGCATCCGGGCTCTCGTGCGGTCACACTGCGCACAATAGGGAGTTCTTAAATTTGTGCTGGAAAATACAGAAATTGGGTTATCGTTATCGCTACAACGCACAATCGTGGCTTGCTCATACCTAACTAGATTCATATTTTAATCTTGGTTTTTTATTTGTATAACAAGTAATTGAGATAGCTGTAAATATAGTAATATAACAATTTATTTTTTTTTTTTTTACCAAAACCGTGATATATTGAAAATAACATTGCAAAAGACCGAGCCTTTTAAGTGCGTGTTTTAATCGTTTTTGTTTGAATTCTGTATGTAAAAACAATTAAGGTGTGGTTAGATATTTACCTAAGGGAGACATCAATTAGGCTAGAACGGGCCTCTTTAATTAAAGCAACTTCGTTACTCACTGTCTTTCAGATATTGCCTATAGGAAAGCTCAAAAACAAAAATGTAATTATTTATAAAGTAACATAGGTATTTATCGCGGCATCCGACCACGCCTAACACACACACTCTCACGTCTACGGGTTGTTGCAACGTATCAGTAATTCAAACTAATTCATTTGACCACAATTCCTTAGATTTGTTTACTTAATATATATTTAAGCATGTATTTATATTCTTCTTGTGCTTTTAGAAACAACCGAGTTCCATAGAAAAATGTGCCTTTAGTCTGCTGAGTGACGACACCTGAAGCAGTAGACGAGCTATTCAGAAATAAATACCAATATGTTCCCCAAAAGGTGCCTCCAGGTCGCCCTTTTTGCGTTCTATTTAATTGGCCTGGTCACGCCCCAATCGCCCGGAGACACGCCTCTGGGCAAAACGGATCCGGCGCAGTCCGGGCAGCAACCTACGAACTATCAACCCAGCTACAACAAGGATTACTTGCCGCGGTATAATCCTTTGTATACTGGACAGCAACAGAGCTCAGACCAAAGTCAGTTTGATAATCCCCTGCATGACGGCCAGAGTCCCAGCACCTACAAGGGGTACTATGATGGCAGGGCGGGAGCTGGAGCACTTGGCGGCAACGTGGTTGGGCCAGGTAACAACCTAGGCGGTGTTGGGCCGCAATACGACCCCTTTAATCGGAACAGCATTGGGTCGGTGGGAGTCAGTTACCGCGATGAATACAGTAATGAGGACAACTTCTGCCCGGAGCATTGGGTCTCGTTTCGGCAGACTTGCTATCGCTTTATTCGTTCGCCTAAGCGCAACTGGGCGGAGGCAAAGAAAATCTGCAAGGCCTACAATGCCGATCTGATAAATGTGGAGAACGTCGAGAAGCACTCGTTTATTCTCAAAAACCTCATACTTCAAAATCAACGACAGAATCGGTTCTTTATTTCGGCGCGCCAGACAGGACCGTTGAATTGGGTTAACGATGACAACACCCAGCTGGTGCAGATCGAGGACTCCTTTTCCTTGGACGAGCAAGTTCCCCTAGAAAACGAAGACCTGCATGACAACCGATTCCTTGTGCAAAACGACCTGAATAACCGAAACATCAATAATCCAAATCAGTTTTACAACTCGCTGCCGGGCACTATAAATCAGCGAAATCAAAATAATTTGCGCGGATTTTTAGGCATGTTATATCTTCTAAAACTAGTGCTTTTCTAATCTTGTTTACTTCCTTAGGTCCGAATCAGCTGTACGGAGATAACGGTTATGTGCGCGATCGCGTTGTCTACGCCTTCTCCAAAAAGAGGGATCGATGGATGTTTATGCCGGCTTACGAAATTGAACTGAATCTTTTTATCTGCGAGTCAAAGGTATTATACAACCCAGACAATGTCAACATAAAGTTGGATGACAAGCGGCCCTACCATTATGGACTCGATATTACCGATATGGAACGCATTCCGCGGGGTCCTTTTTTCGTAAAGCAACCAAACGACACTACTTTCGATGTGAACAAGAATCGTCTGATCAACGATGTAACTCTGAGCTGTTTGGCCGGCGGTTTTCCAACACCGTCGTACCAATGGTACAGAGAGGCATACGTAGACGACACCCTTGAGTACCATAAGATCGATCCCCTTCAACAGGACCGATACACTATATCTGGAGGGAACCTGATTATCTATGAGCCAAAGCAGGCACTCGATCAGGGCGCATATCATTGCGTGGCAGAAAACAAATTTGGACGCATTCGTTCTGAAAGCGCGCATCTCAACTTTGGATTCATCATGGAGTTCAACCTAAAACGCTCTGCAGAGACGAGCGAGATGAACTGGGGAAAATCCATATTCTGCGACCCACCACAACACTATCCTGACGTTCGCTATTACTGGGCTCGCGATTATTTTCCTAACTTTGTGGAGGAGGACCAACGTGTGTTTGTCTCCCGAGATGGCGCTCTTTATTTCTCCTTTATTGAAACCGTAGACAGAGCCAATTACTCGTGCACTGTACAGACCCTTGTGTCGGATACTGGCCGCAATGGACCCTTTTTTCCTCTGCGCGTAACTCCCAATAGCAACTATCAGGCACTTATATTCGCTAATACCTTTCCAAAAGTGTTTCCGGAGGCGCCAGTGGCTGGTGACGAGATCCGGCTAGAGTGCATGGCCTTTGGTTACCCGATCCCGTCGTACAATTGGACTCGGCAAGGGCTACCTCTTCAACGCAACGCTTACACCATTAACTATGGACGGGTGTTAATCATCCAAAATGCAACAACGAACGACAACGGCGAGTACTCTTGTACAATTACAAATCCCCGCAAGACGCTGTTAAAAAGCATCTATATAAACATCCAAATGAGACCACAGTTTACTATTCCTTTAAAAGACATGATCAAAGACTACAACAGCGACGTAACTTTCATATGCGAGGCCTTCGCCATTCCGGATGCGAACTATACTTGGTATAAAAATGCCGAACGTCTCGATCCCAAGACTGTAAATCGTGATCGATACATTATTCAGGACAATGTTCTAACAATTAAGTTTCTGGAAAAAGATAAGGATGAAGCAATGTACCAATGCGGAGCCCAAAATCAACTGAAGACTTCCTTCTCGTCAGCTCAACTCAGAGTGCTGTCAATGAAACCGTCCTTTAAAAAGCATCCGCTCGAATCTGAAGTGTATGCTGTTTACAACGGCAATACAACTATTGTTTGCAATCCGGAAGCCGCTCCACGCCCCAAATTCCAATGGAAGAAAGACGGCCAGGTTATAGGCTCGGGAGGCCACCGGCGCATCCTGCCAAGCGGTACCCTTACCATTGCACCCACGTCGCGCGATGATGAGGGCGTCTACACATGCATTGCATCGAATCAAGCTGGAACCGATGAATCCCACGCCCGAGTTATTGTTTTGCGTAAGATGAAAATATGTTAAATTATAAAAAAAAATTTACTACACTTCCAAAAGTAGATTGCTGCTGAAAATTTCGGTTTGATAATTTCAAATGTAGGTTTTAAAAATTATTTTTATAATTTTCGTATCGTAAATTATTGCGTTTAAGGATTAAAATAGTTGTATTGAAGATAATACAATATTTTATTAAAATCATTCTTTATAGACATCTAACGCAAAGCTTCAATTGGAGAATTTCTAAAGCATTTGAAAACAAATTAATACTTACAAACCAATACTTTTTTCTTAATATTCTTTTATTCAATTTCAGAGGAAATTCGTTTTATTGAGACTCCTCCGCAACGTATTGTTTCTAGAGAACATGATTTAATATTTTTGCATTGCGAGGCTGCCTTTGATGAGCTGTTGGATATTGCTTACGTTTGGAAGCACAATGGCGAAACCTTAAAAAACAACCATGACGGCACCGGGCGTATTGTAAGCTGTCTCCTATAATTTCATCTCTGACCACTGTAATTACTAGAAAATACGCATTTCAGGTTGTTGACTGGAACAGATTGACAGTTCATAACACCACCATGCGTGATGCAGGCGATTACGAGTGTGTAGTAAAGTCCGCGGTTAACGAAATAAGCAGCAAGACAAGTGTGTCCATTGAAGGAGCACCTGGCGCCCCAGGAGGGGTACAAGTCATACAAATCAGTAAAACGAAAGCCATAATTGAGTGGGTGGATGGAGCTAGCAACGGTCGCGCAATTCGCTACTACAACATATTAGGCCGGACAAACTGGAATCGAACTTGGGTTAATGTATCCACTCATGTGCAAGCGCGGGAAGTAGACCGCTACACTTCACGTCAACAAGCCGAGGTTGTGAATCTAACGCCGTGGTCCGCTTACGAGTTTAGTGTGACCGCCGTAAACGATCTGGGAATTGGTACGCCATCAGCACCATCGCCAATATACAGTACCTATGAGGATAAGCCATATATAGCACCAAGGAATGTGGGAGGTGGTGGTGGAAAGATCGGCGACCTTACGATTACCTGGGACCCCCTGTTGCCCCAAGAACAACATAGCCACGGTATATACTACAAAGTGTTTTGGAAGTTAAAGGGAGCTATTGAATGGGCATCGGGTGAGATAAAGAAACAGGACCATATGGGTGTAGCTGTGGTTAATATTCCTCTCAACAACTACTATACGGAATACGAGGTCAAAGTGCAGGCCATTAACAGCATCGGCAAGGGACCGGAAAGCGGAATTGCTGTCATCCACTCCGCCGAGGACATGCCACAGGTTGCTCCTCAAAAGCCCATTGCGATTGCCTTTAACTCAACATGCTTTAATGTCACCTGGCAACCGATTGACATGTCTCGGGAGAACATTCGAGGAAAACTCATTGGCCACAGGGTAAGACTGATTATATAAATTTTATATTTTTGGGTTATAAAAGGTTTCTGTTTAGTTGAAGTACTGGAAAACAACGCACCAAGAAGAAGACTCCGTATACTACCTGTCACGAACCACAAGGAATTGGGCCTTGATAGTAGGTCTGCAGCCAGACACCTACTACTTTGTGAAGGTCATGGCATACAATGCTGCTGGAGAAGGACCGGAAAGCGAACGGTTTGAAGGTGAGCTGAAGACAATTTTAGAAAAAATAAAGCGAAAATAGATTATTCGTAATCATTTAATTCTTTCCAGAACGCACATATCGAAAGGCTCCTCAAAAGCCTCCGTCTTCAGTTCATGTCTATGGAATAAATCCGTCAACTGTGCGAGTCGTTTGGCGATACGTTTCCCCCTCGCAGGACGAGGAACCAGTCGAGGGCTATAAGGTAATACACAAGGCTCAGCGAAAAATAAACTTATTATTAACGTCTTGAAATCTTTAGGTTCGCATTTGGGAAACGGACCAGAACATGATCACAGCTAACAATACCATTGTACCTATTGGACAGAAACTTGAGTCCTACATCAATACCCTTACGCCGGGAAAAAGCTACAACATGCGAGTCCTTGCATACAGCAACGGAGGTGACGGTCGCATGTCCAGTCCCACTCTGCGCTTCCAAATGGGTAAAACGACGCGCAATGCTGCAAGCTCCCAATATGGCCACAATGTCAAATTGGCATTTATTTCAAGCACACTCATCGCCATCGTTTTCTATTCAAGCTACTGATTGCAGCACAAATCAAGATGCATAAGTAGTAGGAGTAGGAGTATATTCAATACTAAGAAGTGACCTTATATAGGAATAAGTAGTACAGCGGCAAACCACGAAAACATTCCAGCCGTTCTTTTTCATAAATCTTTGAAATCTTTGAATTCCGTCCATTTTATAGACTTTTAAAAAAATAAACTTTTATCTTTCCAATATTTTGAACAATATATTCAAAACCGTTTTGAGTTTGAGTTGGTAACAACTTTGGACAACGTTATATAAGGGTTGGAGAGGTTACAAACTAATAGCTGAGCTTGGAAGCGATATGGAAACAGACAGAATATTCATTAATATGATATGAATTCTATGGCGAAAATTGAACCTTAAAAAAACCAGAAAAGGTTATACTGAAAGCTATATAGAGCTAAGGTGGATTTTAGAAACTTTTTCTGTTTTATGAAAACATATATATATAAATTCGTTCATTTATTCAATCGTACAATTTTTTTAATTTTTGCAATTATTTCTAAACAAAAATAAGTTTAAACAAAATTATAATAAGTTGTAAATTAAATGCTAATTAAGGGCATTAAGATTAATCTTTATTTGAAATAAATAATTTTTCTAAATGTTTTTTCTCTTTAAATAGTATCGAACGCGACACTTTAGGCAAAGAATTCGAAAAAGGATTCTAAAAATTATAATACGATCAACAAAGGCATAAGCAAGTGCTTTTTGTGTATTGGTGTATTATTTTCGAGAAAAAACTTTCTCTACAAACAGTATATCTTGTTGTTTTCAAATCAAGACAATTTCTATTATTCCTTTAAAAATATAAAAGAGTTTTATTAGTTTATATATTGTGCAACTTTTAATTGTATCTCTACCGAAAGTATTATTAATTTATTTCTAATTTTATTTAAAAAGAACCATCTGTTTGATAAATATTACTTTGTGGTGTGTAGAAATATATTTCTTTATGCCAAATTTTTTTTTTTAATTTTATAAAAATTTAACTTCTTATCAAATTCAAACATTTTTATGATTATACAATGAAAATGACCAATGTCGGATATTATTTTACATTTATATTTTTAATTTTTATTGTTGTTGTATAATAGCAAAATATATCGGATTCAATCCATTTTAGTGCAACATTAAGTTAAAACAATTTATTTTTAACTAAAATGTATCTATAAACTAGGTGTAGACATTTAATATATAATACATATAGACCCACAGATTTTTCTTTTTATCAAACATTTTCTTTGGGACAACCAATTTTAAGTGGTTAAAAATCTCCATATCCTTGCTGATTAATTGCCTTTTAATAGAACATTATGTGCCGTTGATCAATTTGCAGGCAATTAACAAAAAACAAGAGAAAACGCTATGCTAATACGAAAACCGTCTTTTGAGTCTTGCGGGCGTATGGGTGGGTGTGGCCGGATAATTGTACCACTATAAGATGCGCTGGCATCTAAATATTATACATACTGAATTTCTAGCTCTAATAGTTCCTGAGATTTCAGCGATTTGTGGGCGCGGCAGGATGCTGTAATAAGCTGCGTAGGGACCTCAAGAATCTTAATGGTTAATCTCAACTTTGTATCTCTTATAGTTCCTGAGATCTCAGCGTTCAGACTAAGTACATCCCAGCAGAAAAAAAAGCTTATGTTGCTTATTTAGCAAATCCGTTACCCTACAAGTTCTGGCTATATATGTTGAATGCAACTACATTTAATCATAGAACAGCATCAGTAGGTGAGAGCTAGATGCAGATTACGAAAATTTCACATCATCTATGTTCAAAAAAATAAAGTTTTTTATATAAAAATTACTGTTGGTCTCAACATTTTGTTCCTATCAAGAGCCAGCTGGCAGTAGAGCTGTAAACAATTCGATTTTTAAATCGATTTAATCGATCTTTTTGGATGAGCGAAAATATCGATTCTTTTCTTAGGGAATCGAAGCATCAACAAATTTGCTTAACTAAAAAAAAAACAAAAAGAAACGCTATAGTCGAGTGCCGCGACTATAAGATACCCGTTACTGTTTTACAAAATTTTAAAATATTATTTTGCTAGTGGAAATTCACAAGGCGCCACCTATTGTCAGAGTAAGTATGTTGAGTATGCTTATAGTGACGTCACTGCCCATGTGAGGCCTTAAAACCTTAATTTCTTTATAAATAGAGAAATAATGTTCCGATTTGAAAAATTTTGGTAAATCGATAGATATTAACAGAAATAAGTTATACAAGGTCAAACGAACGCATTCATTATAATATTATAGACGCCACAGTTTTCGGCGGTTTGTGGGCGTGGCAGGATGCTGTAATAAGCTTGCTCTGCGTAGGGACCTCAAGAATCTTTATGGTTAATCTCAATTTTGTATCTCTTATAGTTCCTGAGATCTCAGCGTTCATACGGACAGACGGACAGACAGACGGACATGGCTTATTCGTCTTCGCTATTCATCCTGATTAAGAATATATATACTTTATAGGGTCGGAAACGCTTCCTTCTACCTGTTACATACTTTTCAACGAATCTAGTATACCCTTTTACTTTACGAGTAACGGGTATAAAATTTTAAATGGATTTAATCGATGTTTTCAAGAATTGAATCGAAAAGAATCGATTCTCAAAAAGTAGAATTGTTTACAGCTCTAGCTGGCAGCTGCTTAACTAACTTGTTTAAGAAATCGTGTGAGACCAAATCTATGAATAAAAATCCACGTTTGAGCCCTGTAATCAGTGTGACCGCGAGAAAATATACTGGCTATGGAAAATATACTTTTTAGGCAATTTTATTTTTGTTACGCAGCGTATTTATATGTTAATGGGAGAACACTGCGTGCCAGCAAAAGTCTAGAGTAGGTGCAAACATGGCTTTATAATGCATAGCCATCCACATTGGACATATAGTTAATTGAACTACTGACTTCCCAAAAGTCCACGTCTTCCGTAAAGTCAACTGGTAACTGGTAAGTAACATGGCCAAGGAGAACGGCTGCGGAAAGGGTGTTCAAGTGAACGGAAGCAGCCCATCTATTTGCTCCTCCTCAAAGTATACCCGAAGTACGGAGCTGCGGCGCGTTGAGGACAACGATATTTACCGGCTGGCAAAGATTCTAGACGAAAATGCCTGCTGGCGGAAGCTTATGTCGATCATACCCAAGGGTATGGATGTGGAGGCTTGCAGCGCCGCTGGATGCCTGAACTTTCCACTTGCCGTAAAAAAAGGATTCAAGTACACGGCTCAAGACGTTTTCCAGATTGACGAGGCTGCGAACAGACTTCCGCCAGATCAAAGCAAGTCACAGATGATGATCGACGAGTGGAAGACTTCAGGCAAGCTCAACGAGCGTCCCACTGTGGGTGTGCTGCTCCAACTGCTGGTGCAGGCGGAGCTCTTTAGCGCGGCGGACTTTGTGGCACTGGACTTCTTAAATGGTAAGTAGGCCTCGTTATTAAAAAAAAAAATTATATTCCATTTATCTTAGAAACCACTCCGGTTCGCCCGGTTGATGGCCCTGGTGCACTGATTAGTCTGGAGTTGATAGATGAGGACATGGATGTGGACAATGAGGGTCTGTGTCTCAGCTACCAGCCATGTAATGCAACCCTGGAGGCGGCTGCTCAGGGCAGCATTGGACTAAACCTGAACACCTTTGAGAAGGACATGTTAGCGCAGCACAAGAGTGTGCCACAGCCATCCGGGGAAGTACCACCCGTGGCTCCACCTCGGCGCCAGCTTAGGGTCAGTTCCAGCTCTGCCACTTCGAATGGCACCGGCTTGTCGTCAGCGACCACTCCGAATGTACCCAATCTGACAATTCTCAATCCCAGCGAACAAATTCATGAGCAGCTGCTGGAGCCCCGACCGCAAAACATCCCCAATCTATCTATACTCATCACAAGCTCTTTTGCTTCAACGACAATCAATTCAACAAGCTCCACGGAACCGCCGAATATACCGCAAATTACTCTTTTAATCGATAACTCCGCAAAGATAAGCCCTAGTACAGCTCATGCATCAGTGAAAGCTGAAGAACATTCAACGCCGCCGGCGACCTCAAGTAACTTGCCAATGATAAGTGCTTTGAATATAAGTAATGAAAACGGGGTGACTCCACGTCCAGCCAGCAGCAGCAGCAGCACAAATAGTTTGAGCAACGATGATGACGACGATGAGATTGACTGCGAGGGGGAAGGAGAGTTTGCGGAAGCCTCCCTGCCAAACCTAAGGAACTCAGAGCAACAGAACTCTAACAATGACTCCAGTCTGACAACAGTCACTGGCACCAGCGGTGATAATAGCTTTGAGCTGACCAACGACTCCAGCTCAACATCGAACGACGATTACCCCGGCAACATTCCGAATTTGAGTGAGCTGCAGCAGTAGGAAAATGCGACGTCCATCTACGGTTATGAGTTTCCTCGAGCCGAACATTCCGATTGTCGCTTAAGCTTTAGTTTGACTTTTACACACCACATGGATTTTAATGCTTGTCGACATCGACATGTTAATGTGAACCCTTTATAATATGTATTCTGTGTACAGTCCAACTAGAATCTGAGATTCGGTCCAAGCTTTCAACATTCTATTGTTTCGTTGTCCATATCACGGCTACTGACCCAGTCCATGACAACGGCGACAATATTAAATATTTTCGTTTCGAGAAAGCCATATATATTTTACCAAATAACCGACTCTTAAAAAGTTTGTATGTCTTACAAAGTAATTTAATTTTCTAGAATAAATATACCTAAAAAAAAGGTTTTTATGGAATGATTTTCAATGTAGTGGGTCCAAATTATTAAAACGATGAAATAAAATTATATATCTTCACAAACTTTAATTAATCATAATTCTGTCCGTATGAAAACTAAGAACTCCGTAACAATAAAACATTTATACATACATACATATGTAAACAGAATGTTGCGATCCTAGATGATTTTATAGATACCTCGCAGCCCAAGTTTGTTTCAGCATACGGCCAAAAAGTGCCAAAATCTCAGGCCACGCTTACAAGCTGCGAAAAATTGTTTTTGCTGAGTCATAATAATAATTTTCAATTCGAAACTTTACAATTACTACAATTTATTAACACATTTCGGTATTTGGCTCTACATAGGCGGTGAACGTCACGGTCAGTTATTAAATATTTGGAGACATAGATGGCGGTAGTAAAGCAGTAGACGGCATAAATTTTTTGTTGACGTAATCATTTTGAAATTTGTTACCAAAGTAACGAGCACCTGATAGTCGGACCTCGAATAATCATAAAAAATGCTCCGGTGCAAGCTCTTTCTTTCAAGGTTAACATACCACGGGCCAACATTTAATCCATTTGAATTTGAATCTGGGCGAACTGGCTCTGCATCCCTGGGTTTGTAGATAAATCTAACGAAAGGGCTGGCGATATATTAATACTAACTATCGAAACTGGGAAATCTTATATTTGGGCACTTCAGCTAACAAAACCACAAATCCAAAATTATTCGCAACATGGACGAGTCAGAATTGCTTTTTAACCTCTTCTACTTCCTGCTTTGTATGGTCATTATATACCCACCAGAGGAGTTTCAGCGCATGGGCTTCACAATTGAGCAGTTGTTTTCTCGGTTTCTGGGCGAGGAGTACCTAGACTTTGTGGGCTACCACCTACGCCGTACCTCGCTGAACCTTTTCGTACACTCTTGCCTGCCGTTCTCCTACTTTTTCATCCACAGGCTCAAGTTCTCCGTTTTTGCCACCCAGGAGCCCCTGGAGGACTCTGATCTTGACCCGGATTTTCCAATGCCCCAGGAGGCGGTGGCGTTTAAAACGCTTACGTGGAAGACTGCCCAGCGGTTCAGTGTGCTGGCAGTTCTGGCGGTGCCTGCCCTCATCTTCAATTGGCATCAACATAACTGGCGCCGGCACCCGATCAGCAAGGCCCTCTTGAAGTACTCCAATTCGCTAGAAAACTATAGTTCCGTGGCTGGCGACATTGGTACCGAGTTTCGGCGACCAGAAGTTTACAAAAAAAAGCTTAACTCTATAAGCACAGTGATTGCAACTCAGAACTGGATAATCAAAACTACCCTGTACAATGTTCATTTCGCTCATCAAAGCAACACATCGCTCAGCGTTGCTAAAGTGAGTAGGCTGGAACCCTTACGTTGCGGTGCTAATATATCTGTTCTGCAGGCGGAAACATACAATATATCGCATCATGACCAGAACGACACCCTTCAAATGATTAGCATTATGGTTAAACCAATGAGACATGGTGTAACAGACTTTCACATACGAATTAACGCCTTAGAGTTTAAGAACCTGGAGGACCGTGTCAGGCGGCCTATTGTAATTCCATCCAATATCCAGTTCCACCGTAATGTAATCGACCGGTTTGTGGACGTGTTCAAGGCACAAGTGGCTAAAAATCCTATATTTCATGCGAACTCCATTACGGATAAATGTTTCGCCTGCATGCTAAACGAGCCAAATACCAAGATTAACAAGCAGTGTGCTGACTTGGATCGCAATGGTGCTCCCCTTGCAGAAGGGTCCTGCTGCTCGAATTGCTACTGCCGCCCCATGTGGTGCGTAGAGTGTCTAGCGCGGTGGTTCGCCGCTCGCCAAACCGACGTCGATCGCGAGGTGTGGCTCGAGCAGAAGTGCACTTGTCCCATGTGCCGGGCCAAGTTTTGTGTGCTTGATGTTAGCTACATCAGGCCCCCAGCCAATATAAGATCAAACACGCCATATCGCAATTCCGAAGATGGGGCTAATGATGCTACGTGATTTTCGACTGTTAAAGATACAACTAAATGACTCTTTAATCGAACTTGGTTCTTTATTGGTCTGATTTAAACTGATTTAAATGATATAACTATAAGCTTAAGGGCATATTTTTAGGTACAGTTATCACTTTTTAATACATTAACAATATAAGCAAACTGGAATGCAGTATATAATAATTTTAATTAGTCTAATTGATCTAAGCATAAAGAAAGTGACGATGTATTAAATCTGCCTTACTAAACACTTAATCACGGTTAATAAAGCCACACAAAGTGTACTCGTCTTCACTGCGCTGCGCAGCCAACGTCCCATTTTTTAACCAGTTTCCCTTTTTTATCCTCCCAATCTGATAAAATAAAGCGCCGTAGTAAATAATATACATATGCAAGGTAAATATTATAAGGAAATACATAGTCAATAAAGCCACCTACTTTACAGAGCGTAATTATCTATAAATTCGTTTCGTAAAAACTTTTAAAGTTCTCCGTATGTTCACGTTCGCTTCTCGTATGTGTTCCTGGAGCCGTCATCGGTCCTTTCGTCGGGGGCAATCCGTTTAACAAACAGCGACTTGAGATCTAAAACCAATTGTTAGTTATACAATTTAACATTCAAAACAAAGCAAAATGTGTCATATTTAAACCGATTAGTGGTTGGAAACATTACGATAAATCGCTTGATTGGCAAGGATTTATCACCAAATAAACGATAAATATTCATTATTGGGTCGGAGATCTATCCAATACATTAAAAAATTATGACTAAATTTCGAAATGCTATTGCCAAAATTAGTTTATTTGAATGTCACCAACTATGCAAGCTGTACCTTCATAATGGCCAAACGTTGAATACCCAGTTGACCATACATATGTACGTATATATGTATGTATGTATATGTATATGCTAGCACGCTATTAAAATTTAACAACAATATTGGAATAGAAGGTCATAAAAACTTTTAAGTCCCACAACCAAATTCCTTTCTGGTTTAAATATGACTGCTCATACTTTGTGTACATACATACATACGTATGTAAATATGTACATAAGTATATCGATAAGGAAAATTTCAGAAACCTTCCCCTTCCCTCTTCAGTTGTCCGTAAATATATACAGCTGTTTTTATTATTATTAAAAATTTTTCGTCATAATTAAATTTCTAATTTTGAAAGTAAATTGTTTTAAAGGCGGATAGCTATGAGTTCCCTTTACAATCTAATCTAATCATCACTTGTGGAGTACTTACATATGTATGCATACATACATATGTATGTACATACATATATAAATCTTTGCAAAAGAAAAGGGCAAAACAAAAATCACTTAAGCTTTGATTGAAATATACTGAATGGCCGTAAAGATTTGGGACTTAAAATATAAATTTACAAAGTGTAAGTCTTGTTTAAATGTCAACACTTTCCGTTATAGTTTCTGTGGTATTGAGGTAGTATTACCACTCTTACATTGATCTACACACTAACGGACGCAATGCAGAATACCCTGCTCACAAAAATCACAAACGTTATTTGCAATATGGACTGCTTATTTTATAAAGTTTGTCCAAAACGCGCGAGGGCCGCACCTTTTCTTTTTCCTGTGGAGATCCAGCGTCAAAGAGCTTGCAGTCAACGGCGTCCCGCTTCTTGACCTTCGACCGGAAACGTCCCGATCGAGAGATGGAGAAGTTGCGCCATTGGTGGTTGTAGTCGCACCGTTTCTCCTCTTCACTGAGAACACTATCGAGGTAGTGAATCGTAGGCTCGTGGGCGGCAGTCACGGCTTTACTCATTGTTCCCGGTGAAGCTTTTATCTTTTTTTTTTGCCAGTTTTCGCTGGTGTTTCCAACGATGATAACGACAAATACAGGTCGATAGCCAAACTGACACTTCCACGGGATCTTTTGTTTTGATTGTCTTCGTGGACAGAGTTCGTCCGAAAGGCAATCCGAATCCAATACTGCCGCTCGTGTTTCCCGCAGAGCGTGTGGTCTATGACTGCAGACAAGTTCCCTGCGTTGCTGCTACCGACCACTCGACAACGGCGTTGACAAAGATTCCACCTACAGCGCTGCGTCATTATGAAGAAACGCCCGTTGGAGCCAGTGAAAACTCTTTCCACATTGGCTCCAGATTTGTGATTTCGTGATTTGGTTCCTGAAGACCAAAATAAGTGAGCCAGTGAACTGCATTTGCGGTGCGTTCTGCTACCAGTACTGACCGAATTCACAGCATAAACCGGAAATCTTGAGCTGCAGGCATCCTTGAATCCCATTTAAACGTGCATACATACAAATACCTAAATATTTACCTAATCATTTTCATACGAAATATTTGTACATATGTGATTCGCCTTTATGGACGCTCCGTGTGTGATTTTCGTATTTCATGGCCTACATTTATTAGCTCATGTGCACAAAAGTCCCTAATTTTAAACGTTACATTTGATATATATTTATTTATATTTATAAGTAATAAAAACATTCAAAATAAATCATTTTTACTTTAATGTTATCGAACCCCTCAATTGTGTTCACAATTCAGATTTACAAATTTCTTGTAAATGTTTAAATAAAACATTTTTCCAGTTTGAAGTATTTCCAAACTCTACCGAGTTAAAAAGTGATTACAAAAATAAGCTTCATTCAGTCGCAGACAAAAGCTAAAAAGGCATCACAGGTCACAGGTATATGTCACAGGTGTGTAAGATACCAACTGAAACCAAATAAATAAACCTTTTTAATACCCTTTACAAAGTCTTTGTTTGTCCGACAATTTTGGAAATTATTTTCAGCATACGTATTTAATTTATTTATTTTATATAATTGAATTAAAACATAAACATAACATAACTTTGTCAAGTAAAATAAAAACATTTAATTAATGTCCTAAAGGGCATAAACTTGTCAATATATTGGAATGATCGTCCACACACATATCTCAACTGTGCTCCCGATGATAAGTGGAAATAGACAAAACTAACATACAACTTGTCAGCAATTATAAATGATTAGGTCGCTTTTTGAAGCGTCCACTTTGGACATTTCTTGAACAGTACATTTACTTTTTGCTGTGTAGACACCAAACTAAAAATGTGAATAATCCGCGAGCGGTACAGATGGGCATACTTTTAATGACTCAGCACGGGGAAGGGCTAGGATTACTTACAAATTCTTACTTCCCCGCCTTTGGAAATAGCTCCAGCATGTGCAATTGACACGGAATGATTGCAATATTCGTAGCCCTCATTCCTTTTAATAATATTATAAACTGTAGATATGTATACTATGTTTGTGGATAAAGCTTACCCACCGCTGAGGAATTTCTTTTATTTACAGGGGCAACTTTTAATTTACAAAATTGGTTACGTATAAATTTAAGTGTGTGGAAGCATATACAAACAAATCTATTATGTACTATATCAAAATTATATCAAAGACATGGCGGATTTATCGCAATCGTTAACAAGATATTTTCCAAGAATAGTTGGTGTATAGGTTGAGTATACATTTATTTTCCGACCGATACACATTGTGTATTTTAACAATAAATTTAGCTTTGTTACCTGCAGACATTGCCAGTTTTAGCAACCTAAAATAATTGGGCTTGTGGTGTGTCTTTGCAAGAGCAAGAGGTAAAACAATTAACTGAAAAAACAAGAAACGCGTAGAAAACAATTGGCCCTATAATTTGGTATTCACTCCAATACCTTCTAGACAACGCTACCGCCACTATCGCGATGGCGAGAGATCACCGCGTCCATACGTTGTACCGGTGGCACTGGACGCTGCTGTGGCTGCTGATCTGGACGTGCTGGCTCTGCGGAATTGTTATTGTTACGATGCATGAAGTTGCGAATGTTCTCCTCTGTGTAGTCAACGATTCTACGCTTTTTACGGCGGCCATATTGTTTCTGCTTTAGGTAAATCTTCAAGATTCCCTTAACTGTTATAAAGGTGAGCCCTCCAAGCAAAGTCCTGTGCAACGTGTTATCAACGGAGTCAAAAAAAATCCGTCCCACGATAGATGATATGGTGGGCAGCAGTAGGGCCCCACAAAAGACTCGCGTAGCCGACACTGGGTCTGAGAGAGCAGGTGTAGCCGGATTGCTGGAGCTTGGCTGGTCTTCTTCCTGGTTACTGTTCAATAAATTTAGGGAATTAAGAGCATGTCTATCAGGAGTGTGTACACTTACAGGCTCGGATAAATAAGGCTTACAAACGGAAATTTTCTCACTACCATCCCGCGGTTTCGAATCAGGCGTAAAAGGGCCTCCTCCCAGCGAATCAAGCGACCAAGCACCAACCCTACTGGAATCGCCGGTAGTCCAATAAGGAGAACTAGCGGGTCGCCGGCCTCCATGATGGACATGCCGTGCTCATAGCCAACGATCTATCAAGAGTACACTTTCTTAACGAGGAAACAAGGTGAAATTAAGAGCGAAATACCTGTAAAAATGTTACGGCTCCATATGTAACTGCTGTCCAGTATAGAGAGCCCACAAAAAAACCAGCTGCCAAGAATGGACTTAGACGCTTTATGAAATTATCCATCGCTTCTAAAGCACCACCGAACTTGCCCATTTGCGGGAAAACAATTATGTACTCCGTCTGGCACTGCGGACAAGACACTGAGCGTAGGGCGTTGCCCTTTTGTGTCTTTTCATCGATCCAGCGGTAAAGGCAGCTCTGGTGCACCCACTTCGTGGTACCACGACACTGACAGGGTTTCACCCACGCTGCCAGGCGGTTGTCCTCGTCCGTGGCGAAACAGATCCAGCAGCAGCGGTCAGATTCAGCTACATCACTGTCCACCTGGACAGTGGTAGAAGTTGAGGCATCTGTGTGCACTTTATCCACTGCAGGCGGCACAGTCAAAGTGGTGTGTATACCGGCTACATCTGCAGGTGGAACATGGTCGGCAGGTAGTGCTGCACCTTCGTCGGCCATTTCTCTGTAATTCTACTATATTTGTTAATCGGCAGCCCTCGTCTAGAACTTTCATTACTGCTTACTTAGCTCACGCTCTCCTTACAGTGCGCTGGTGGGCCTTTGTTAGGCTAAGCTAATACTCTCACTTTTGCAATAAGGCGTATGATAACTTTATTTTTGGAGCGACTTAACAAAATAAAATAACTAAATGAATCCAATTTATTTATTCTGACTTACAACACTTACCAATTCGATGCCTTCTCTTATCGATATATCGAATATTTGCCATTTCATGATGGTGTCTGTCTTGAATTTGGTTGGTGTGACCTTTTACTTTTCAGGTTACGTTTTACAAATATGGTAAAAATTGCAAATATTTTTTGGGTCGTTTCTGAAATCTTACATCTGTGTATATTGATAACAAGATCATTATTTTCATTTTTTAAAGTTAATATAAGTCTTTAATATATGTATATTGATAACCAGATCATTATTTTGATTTTTTAAAGTTCATTTACATACATAAATATAATGTAATTGGATTTTGAAGATTCCAAAAGAGCTCATTTTTGTTCGAAAAATCGCGTAAGCTTATCTTTAATTAAGTTTTACTGAACATTAAACCGTAATAAAATAAATCACGAGTACAAACATTCAGTGATAATAATTTTGTATTTGTTTTGTTCAGGGTAAATCTCAAAGCATATGTACATAAATCACAACCTTTTACTCCTTGTTTTAAGTAACAAGAAATTGGTCTCTTGGTATTGACTAATAATAAAATACGGAAAACATTCTGAATCATTTTTATTCAGATTAAATATTCTAAAATATGGTCGATATTATGAAAATGACATAGTCGCCAAATCTGAGCAATGTAGCGCATATTTTCACATGCAGAAAATCTTATGTTTTCCAATTTGTAACCACAAAGTTGTAAAAATAAAGTCGATCTTCTAAAAAGCTCTCTATAACAAATAAAAAGAGATTTAAATTATCAGTTTATTACAACAAATTAGAAACTACTTAAAAGATGTCGGTTAGTTTAAAATGTAAAAATGTCACATTTTAATATCATCATAATGGAATTGATGGGGCTATGTATGTTCTTAAGAAGACGAACAATTTTACTAGAGCCACCATATGGTTAGTAACAGACGGTGACGCCACTGCCTATGTAAGGCCTAATATACAAACAATTTGAAAATTTTTTTCTGATTAGAAAATTACATATTTTGGCGTTTTGTGCGCGTTAGAGTGCGCGTGGCCAAATGCGGATGCATCGCCGATGTATTCTTAATCCCCTTTCTATCACTTATATGTAGTTCTCGAGAACTGATCGGTCCATCGAAAGCGGAATCTGCGCTGGCATTGTGGAAGTATACATAATTAAATCTAACTTTCTAGCTCTTTTAGTTCTCAAAATATCAGCGATTTTAGTTTTTCGTGCTTTGTAGGCGCCAAGAGTGGTAGGATTAGCATTTGGAATCAACATGCTGAGTCTTCGGCTTGTATCTTTTATATTTCCTGAGATCTCAGCGTTCATGCGGACAGATGTACAGGAAGACGGAGATGGCTAAAGCGACTCGGATGTTAATCCTAATCAAGAATATATTTACTTTAAAGGGTCGGAAAAGCTTCCATTTACCTAGTACATATGTACGAACGTAACGTACGTATGTAACGAATACTTTAAACCCTTTTACTTTACTAGTAAACGGTATAAATAGGGGTGAACGTGTTAATTTTCCATTTGTTGGGTATGGTTTTTATAACCATAAATAAATATTTACAAATCAATTTACATAAGATAATTACCATCGGTCTAGCTGAAAGGCAGTGGGAGTAAGCTAAATTAAACAAGCCAAATTTAAAACATAAAATTTGTTTCCCAATTATTGAAGTTATTTATCTTTTGAATTTAATTAAAGGTATCCACTCACTTATATACACAGTTTATAGTTATGTATATATATATACGTTAACTAATTAAATGAAGAATTTAGTGATTATGATTTCAATTATTTTGTCTAATTATAGAAAAAAGTAGTTTCATACCTAGACTTACAAATATATACTACATCCGTTTCTGACCCTATAATAACTTATCTTTTTTCGTTACATATTTATTAAAAAATTGAGAAGTATGCTTTAGTGTGTAGATCTTTCAAAAGAAGTCCCTATTAAAAGTGACGATAAAATTATTTGCTGGAGGCGACCGATAGAAGGAGGGTTGTCTTCTTACATCTTTAACAAAAGATGTATTTATAGTATAACTATGCCCAAACGAGGTCTCAAGAACACGTTTCGAATTGCAGAATTATCACCAGATTAATAAAGCTAGATGATCATGGTGACATACATTTTTGTATAATTTCCATTTAAAACATTACACTGCCTTTATCGCGGATATACGCTTATGTTAAAAAATGTCGCATACAGCTTATTAAAATTATAACAAAAATATTAAATAACTTCATTGAGTTCGACAGATGCATGGTAATTGATGTTAGTCCAGCTCATTATTTACGGATTGACGACTTTGTGGCGCTCGCTGATCATCCGCGTCCTCTTCATCAAAGCCAGCCATAAGACGATTGAATATATCTCCAAACATTCCACCCAATCCTGATGAACCAACATGGCCAGCTTCTGGCTGCTCGTCGAAATATATCACTCCAATCTTGTCCACGTTTTTCTGGAAAGATGTGTCGCGCCTTAGTGACGGATCGTAAAGTTTGCGCAGGGCTCGAAACCCAGCTACACACTTCGTATCGATGAGGCGAAAAAGGAAGTACAGGAAATTGACCAACGGTTCCTTGTACGGGAAATCGTGCCTGACAAGTTTGGCGTGGTAGCGTGTATACTCGGTGAACGTGTCCTCGGCGGTCTTGCGATCTTTAAGCGACAGCTGTTGAAGCACTGCCTGCACTAAGAACAAGTCGACCTCACCATGGAAACCTCTGCTCTGACTGATCTCAATCAGAACTCTGCCGCAAAGGCTGCCGTCCTGGCAGAGCAGGTAGTGGTGGCGAGCCGACTCTATGTTGCCCTCGGTCCAAAACAAGTGCGCTATTAACTTGTGTAGCACCGGGTGGCCGTACTGACCGTGCAGGGCAGTGCTCCACTTAATGGTCCGTTGCTGATGAAAACATTAATCTGGTTATTGCGACATATTGCGAATAACACAGTCATACTCACAATAAGCGTTTCGCGTTCCACAGTCGCTGCGTTAAGACTGCGAATCAAGGCTCCGAGGCGTGGCACCCACAAAAAGTTTTCTGTGCCCTCAACATGTTGTCCTTGCTTCTCCAGAGTGTCCACTAGCAGAAGACACAGGTCTGCCGCGCTGCTTTCTTGCTCTTTTGCAATTAACTGCTGTGCCCCATCATGGAGCAGATCCAGACAGTCTTGATAGCGCTTCTGTGCTGTATAGCTGATTAAAAAGAAATTTTATTGTTCACATTTTAGAGCACATTTCTCTGTAATAGGTTACCGAAAATAAAGCGTCCTGTACATCATGTGCGCCTCGTAGAACTCACCACGGGCTAAAGATTCGGACAACTTGGCAAGAACTCGGCTGACGCCTCGTTGCCCGGAGGACACTGCACTGCTGCTAGCTATGCCACCTGTCTCGGCAGCAGCCATTTCCCTGTTCTCTTTGTTAAATTCAACGCTTGGAAGCGATTTTTCCGATGATTGGTAAGCTTAATTTTATAATTTTATGTTTACATATACACACATCTCGATGACGAAACTATCGAAATCGAACTTATCTAAACTAACACTCTTTTCACACAACCGTTAAACCTTGAAACAGCTGATTGGTAATCGTAACTAAAATTCTCACTTAGCTTAGTAATAACTCAAGGATATGTATTTACTTTAGTGAATTAATTTTTAGAGCTATTTTTCGTGTTGAAGAAGTTGGAGTTGAGGATATTACATCGCTCATTCTTTTCCTCTGATTGAATGATTTTCGTTTCGTATCTTGGGAATTGCAAGTTTAATAAGAAACTGCAACGGTTATGATGAACCGCATTTATCACAATTCGTGTGCTGATGCAACCCTGTGTAAACAGCCCTTATGGGCGCAAAAAAAAGAGGAAGATTGTATATAGTTAAAACAGCTGACAATCGGCATCATAAGGTTGTATAGCTATTGACAAACCCAAATAAATGGACAGTGAACCGAAAAAGGGCGGTTCCGATGCAGGAAAGGAGAAGTCCAACTCGGCTGGCGGTTCTCTTGGCAATGTCAGCAACTTTGCACCCAATCGCTGGGTAAAGTTGAATGTTGGTGGTCAGGTATACGCCACCACTATTGACACTCTGGTAGGCAGGGAGCCGGACTCGATGCTGGCACGGATGTTTCTACAAGATGGCCGCATGATGCCCAGTGAACGGGACGAACAAGGAGCATATCTAATTGATCGGAGTCCTCGATATTTCGAGCCTATTATCAACTACCTCCGCCATGGTCAATTCGTCTGCGACTCAAACATCAGTGTGCTGGGCGTTCTGGAGGAAGCTCGATTCTTTGGCATCTTCTCTCTCGTCACTCACTTGGAGGAGCGCATGGGGCAGCAGGATGCGTCATTGGAAGACAAGCCACTTACGCGTAACGACGTCGTCAAAGCCATCATTCAGACCTCCGTGATTACGGAGCTTCGCTTTCAGGGTGTCAATCTTTCAGGGGCTGATCTTCGAAAGCTGGATTTTCGCAATATCAACTTTAAGGTATGAGTGTTCCTAAAATTTAATATTCTGTAAGCATTATATAAATATTGTCTACCCCTTCTTCATTTTAAAAGGTTTTATTTAACTTTATTAAAATAGATAATGTAGAATAAAGACATACTTTTTGAGATTTATTCTCATCATAAAAGTTTATGAATTTATCCAGAATTATATATACATACATATGTATATGTATTTGTATATATGTATGTAATAATTTTATCTTATTATTTTATATTATAACAAATATATATGTAGTTAATTTCAGCCTAGTTTCAGCACAATATTCTAAATTTGGAAGAGAATATCCTTTTCGCTTAATTTATATTAAGCATTATTGCTCTTTTATGCGACCCAACAATGTTTCATTCATTCGATATTGCAAGCCCTAAATAACTCAAAATTATATATTTACTTATTAATTACTTACTTAATTAACTTAATTGCTCATTCGCATTACAATTGTTCGCATATGTTCCTCCGTATGTAGATGGCCTATACTAGAAGATCTCAGCGCGAGCCAAACAATAAATTATAAACTAGAAATTCTTGAATAGCAATAACATCCGAGTCAGTTATTAATAAGAAGACATTTTTATATAAGAAATACGACCGCTCAGATTAAAGATGTATAAAAATTGCTAGTTATAAAAACTGAAAAGATATTTTTTGGTAGTAGCGTACATATAAACGTAGTAATTAAAATATAAATACCCATAAACAACCTTCCATTTTAATCCACAGTACGCAAACATGTCGCACTGCAATTTGTCACACACCAATCTTAACTACTGTTGCCTAGAGCGAGCTGATCTGCAGTACGCCAATTTGGAATGTGCACAACTAGTATCCGTGCGCGGACTTTGCGCTAACATGGTAAGAGGAATTAGAATTTCAGCTCTGTGATCATAAAACTAATCAAAAAACATACATTTTGTTATATAACACAAAACAAGCTCTGAACCAAAACTAAATTTGCCAATATTTTAGGAAGGTGCCAATTTGCGTGGGTGTAACTTTGAAGATCCAACAGGAGTTCGAACCAATTTAGAAGGTGTTAACCTCAAAGGAGCGTGCCTCGAAAGCAGCAACATGGCAGGCGTTAATTTGCGTGTAGCAAATTTGAAGAACGCAAATATGAAAAACTGTAATTTGCGAGCTGCTGTCTTAGCAGGAGCAGACTTGGAAAAGTGCAATCTTTCAGGCAGCGACTTACAAGAGGCAAATTTGCGTGGTGCAAATTTAAAGGACGCAGAGCTTACTCTAATGGTGACGCCGTTACACATGTCACAAGCCATACGATAAATTATATGACGGGACGGTCTCTTGTGCAATTACATATCATGTCATGGCTTCAAATGATTATACCTAATAAGTTTAAGTTATATGAGTGTAAATATTTCTGAATTTGACTATAGTATTTAAAATAAACAGTATTAGGATTACAATTCCTAAAATTTCTTAGTGTTAAGACGTCTCAAAAAAGTTTTATTTTAAAAAAGTGTAGATTTTAGCAGGATTTTGGCGTTCGAACAGAAAATCAATTATTTATAGATGCTTATCAAAGCAGAAAAAATTTTGAATCAACCAAAACTAGGGGATATTCTACTTTTCTGTTTAACGAAATACGAAATATTAAATTCCACACCTAACATGGGACCAAATTTAAGTAGTATAAAACCAAGTTTTCTGAAACTGGCGTTCCTTTCCAGAGTTTTCGTGTTTTAAAAAAAGTTAATTTCGAGTAGAGTTGGATAAAAAAAAATTGAATTGATATATTGTTAGATTCATAAACGCCCTCCGCCAAAGATCGAAATTGATAGGCGGATGGGTCATACCGATAACGATACAATCACCGCAACGATGTTTTTGGTATATTAATAACACACTACAAGGTCCCATTGATTACTTGTCAACGTCAAAGTCAAAGGAGATATTTCACTTGCGTTTGATTTTTACCGAGACTGGTTGTTCTTAGAAATTGTGTTAACTTATTTTTGGTTCTGTTATAGAGGCTCGTGCTCCCCTTTAGTTTCGCGTGTAAGAGTGGGCAATTCATCGATAGCTCGAGCGCTCATCGCTAAATTTCTTCGAGTGAGAAACGTGGTTTGTTGGAAGCCAGCCGGAGAAGAAGACGTTGCTCTTGTGCGAAATTGTGTAAATTCAGAGAAGAAATTGTTGAGCGGAGGAAAACCAGCGACGGTTTGATACACAACTTATAAACTCGAAACGATGGAAGATCAAAGCAACGCAGCTCCCGTTGCAGCCGCGGAGAACGGTACAAACACCGCGCAGGAGGTATCTTCGACAAGTAAGTTACAACCCCTCCCTTATCCTGGTTTGTGTTAAAACGTTTATAACAAAAATATATACATATGTTCCTTGCGTGAGTGTGAGAATATTATCATAAATATTTTGCGTCGCGTTTTGCCAGCTTTTGTAAATATGTATGTATTTTGTAAGATTGACTGTTCATACGTATATATGCATGTGTGTAGGTTTATTTAAAAAAGGGATCGCAGTCCGCTCGGCCATTTTACCAAGCCAGAAGCAAAAAGGTTGTCAGAATTCCGCCATATTTATTTCTAGTGCACCCTAGCTGTAAATAAGAGTTGCCAAAACGCCAAAGCACAAAACAGTGAAAATAGGAACGGGTGTATGTGTGTGCCCGAAACTTACATGCCCGCTTTTTAATGTTTGTCGGCGATCTAAAGCTGTGTTGTTGACATTAATTACGTCACCTTTGCGCGCATTTTGTGCTCGGTTACAATTGCGCCCGTAAATAGTACGATATGAATCATTTTTGGTTGCTCCTGGCCGATTTTGAGTAATTCTGAGCTTGGTACTGTCACTGCTTTCTGTGCACACTGCTCTCCGACCGCCTACTTTCCCGTAGTTGCACACAACTACAACATCATGCATACATATTAATTGAGAAATTTGCGATTTGATGCGGTCATCGCTGAGAAATGTTTGTGCGTACCAGCGTACATATGTGCGCCTGTGTGCCGGAGCGTTGCCAACTTAATGGTCATGCGTCCATTTCGATATTTAGATTCTCTGTTGCGAGTTCTTCTCTGCGTTTGAGACAATTGCAGTAAAAAGGCCGGCAAGACTTATGCTAAACATATTTTTCTATTAATATTTTCATTTCTGCACAAACTCTTCATACAAGCGTATATATGAACATAGGCGTGTATCAGAATTCGCACAGGTGGCAACTCTGCCGACCATATTTTTGTATGCTGATTGTTGTTATGAACGATAATGGCCGGTCTCCGCTTGAGCTATTTCACATCTGATTGCTGGATGTGGAAACGGTTGTCAGGCTTAGTATCATATTCAGTCAAACGCAAAATTGGCGTGATAACACGCGTTCATTACAGACGATAAGACAAGACTTACTGATTGAGTGCATTCAATAGGCTTCCTTAAATTAAATTTAAATCAGAATTAAGTTGCAATTGGAGTATTCGAAAAGCAAATATAATGTCAATGAAACAAATTCCAACCAGTTTCGGTTACCCTTTGAGCAAGATTGGAAGAGGCCTGATGGAATCATTTTTCAAATTCTAATAAAATTGCTTTTGTATTTTTGCAGCTCAAACCATAGAGCCCACAAAGCGCTCATTGCGCGTCCAAACATGGAAAAAGATACAGGAGGGAAAGGTTGGCATTGGATTCAACAACATATTTAACCGAATTCCCTCTTTTGTGGATGCCGATAAGGCTGTTGCCTTGCTTATTAACGAGGAGGAGTTCAAGAAAGCACGTATGTGGCTCCTACAGCTTGTTGTTTCACCTACCTTATATTGTCCTCCCCCGCTTTGTAGAGCACATCAAGGTAAACATCGATCGCGCTTTGCACGAGTTTAAGGAACAGGCGTTACTGGCCGACAAGTCTGTTTACTTGCCCAGCACTAGGGATTCTACAGCGTTGTGCCTCAAAGTAGATGTTTCAGCCGATGCTACTGAAGAGCAGAAAAAGGATGCTTTGCGCGTTCAGGACATCCAGAAGTTCCGCAAGGAAATCGGACTGGACAGTGGTCTTAAGCTTGACATTGTTGTGATTGGTTCAGTCGTCGTTTCGCGCGAAGGCTACCGTATTGGACGCGGAAATGGGTTCGCCGATCTGGATATCGGGCTCCTCATTGAACTGGGGGCCATCACACCGCAAACAGTTATTGTCACAATCGTCCACGACGTGCAGGTGGTGGATTCGCTGCCTCTGAACTTGTTCCAGAAGTATGATGCGCCCGTGGACATCATTGTCACCCCCACAGAAGTAATCCGGGTGTCAAAGCGCTTGCCCCGTCCTAAAGGAGTCTTCTGGGAGATTCTGTCCGAACGACGCCTGAAGATATTGCCTGTACTGCAGCAGCTTAAAGAGCGAGAGGAAAAGGCCGGAAAGTCGATATCCTTAAAAGAGGAAGATACCGACGTAGAGCAGCATCAGAATAACCGACGCCGCCGGGGGCCCGTGCGTCGTCGCTTCCAACGAGGTAACCCGGGACGCACCACCTCACAGACTGACAACGAACAACATGGCGTAAGTATAATTGCACAATAACCAGCACTTTTGAGTAACTCTTAACTCCATTATGAAGGAGACTACCCAGAAACGCACTCCGCGTCGCAAAGGTCGTTTTGTCACTCGCCGAAGGCGCACAGCTAAGGTGAACAACTAAATTCTGAGTAAAAGCAGTCATAATCATTTTGTTTATTTTAGTCTGAGGGAGATCAGTCTGGAGTTGAGGTCGGTGCTAAGAGTGAGGATCGTAAATTCGATGAGGTTGGCACTGGTGAGCGTCGTCCAAAGAAGAACAAGAATCGTGGACCTAGCGATTTTTGTATTAAGTTGACGAATTTGACACGTGACATTCGCGTCAAGGACCTAAAGTCGGAACTTCGCAAACGTGAATGCAATCCGATGGCGATTTCTTGGAAGGGTAAGCAACTTATATAAGGTTTAAAATAATTTCAATCAACGGTGCGTTTTGGTAGGTCATTTTGGAAAGTGTTTTCTGCATTTTGGAAACCGCAAGGGTATACCTAGCACCCAGGACGACGTGGACAAAGTTTTAAAGTCCCTTAATGATCTCTCGTTAACCATCACCACAGGTGGCGAGACTGCCCCAGTCGGCGCATCAACTGAGGGCAACGCCGCCGTCAAAACGGAGCCAGCTGAGTCTGCGGCGCCTATACAGACAAAGACTATAAACGTTAACGTCGAGCTGATTCAGTTTGGCGCCAAAAAGAGTGCCATCTCCACTGGTGCCAATGCTAGTGCAGGCGAGGACGGAAATGCTGCCGGTGGCACGCAAAATGGGGGCGAAGCAGGAACTGTAGGTGGCAGCGATGTGGGTGGTACACGTATCGAGGCTGTCGACACCACCACAGTATAGTATGACTACGCGCTTGGCGCAGCCACAAAACGGTCGCAGCGGATTCCCGCCGGCAGCGCAACGTTCGGAGTTCAACGAAAAAAAGTAACATTTTGTTTAGAACAAAAATCGAAAAATATCAAACAAAAAATGAATAGAAAGCGAACTCCGGACACAAACACAAAATACACTCAACATACACACAACATTTTGCAGCTTGTAGTTTCTTCTTCTCCTTCATTACTCTATCAAGATCAAATTCAACCTTTTCTTACGAGAACCCAAACCATTGACGCTTTTTCTAAACAAATGCATTTGTTTTTACCAATGAATCGTTGAATTATATAATGAAATGATTGCATAAATACTCGTTCCACAAATAGAGTGGAACAAAATTTCTTCCAAATAATCCCTTACTAACTTCTTGTAACTTGTTACAATTTTGAGTATTTCTGAGGTACTTCTTAATATTTTTTCATTTTGAATTCACGCCCCAGCACTAAGATCGGTTGCTCTATTAAGCAGTTGAGCTGCAATTAAAGGGCTAGCATCTGTGGCCGAATTTAAATAAATATTCAAACATGTAATAAGAATCAAAGAGCGAAAATAAAATAAACACTTGTCGCATTTTTCGCCGAGAAAATTATATAAAGAAATTACAATTATAATTTGGTTGGTGTTTCCGTACTCTCATGGCAAAAACTTTAATTATATACTTTAACGAAAGATCAAAACAAGTGTGAAAACACCATACAAGGCAGAACATAATTTACTCTTTTTTTTAAACAAAAAAAAAGGAATTATACAAAAAAAAAATGTGAAACATGAATGAAATATAACTTGAAATAAAAATAATAATAAAAAAAAAAAGAAACATACTCAATTTGGAATTTACCCGTTTATTTTATCGAATGAGGGGCATCAATTTATATGTACAAAGGTGCTTAACCCTATCTTATTCAATTAAAGTAGTCTAAAACATATAAAATATTATAGTTCAAGACGTGTATAAAAATTGAAATTCAGCGGAGTTCGAAAAATAGGTTTTTTATACTTTGTGTGTGGATGTCTGTCAAAGTCATCGTTGGCCAAGTGGGTCTGGAAATAATGCACACTGAAACCTTTTGCTTGCCGTGTATCAACTTGGTTTATGTACTATTTTTGAATGGGGCGAATTCTTTGAATAGCGGCGATGGAGTCCGATCAATGAATTCTATGCTGTCATTCTTTGATTGGGCGGATGCAGAAGATGCGGTCACGCAGTCAATTGTGTGCACGATGGAAGGGCCAGGTTTCTCCTGAATGGGCGCCAAGCTGTTTACTATCGAGTTGGCCATGGCAAGCTCCAGTTCACGCTGCCAATCGTTTTCCTTCTGTTCCATGGCCTTTCGCTTTAGCTCCTTGTAGCGGTTATAAACGATGAACTCTTTTACTAACGTGGTCTCTGGATCACTGTCCCGTTGCGCGGACCGTTGTTTGGCTAAACGCTTCTTCTTTTTATGAAGTGGCCGCGATTCTACAATCATTTCCTCCAGCTCCAGGCAGGGATCACAGTTGAGGTGGTCTTCGGGGGGCTTATAGATAGGCTGCATCTTTTTCTCGAGCACCTTCTGGAAGTCGATGTTGCGAAGCAATGCTGTCTGATGCAGCTCTTGTTGTGTGCTGATCCTAGCGCCAGGATAGGTGGAGAGTAGCTGCCAGAATAAATAACTATTTATTATTACAAAGTTTCTTAAGATTATCTTATTAAACCCACTCTCTGAAGCAGATCGACAAAGTTGCTGCTCCAGTAGCGCGGGTAGTGCACGGGTGTGTTTAAAATATTTTTAATCTCCGTCAGGGGGGTGTTTGAGTGCACTACAAAGGGACGGTTGCTTCCCCGCATTTCATAGGCCACGACGCCAAGGGACCACCAGTCCACTGGGTAACTGTACCCGGCTAAAATAAAATTTATAAAATTGTAATGCTATTAATTAGGTTAATCCTAGTTTTCGCCCGTATTAAAGATCGCGCTTAAGCAGACTCTTTCACTCACCCAATTCGTCCAGGGCACACAGAAACACCTCAGGAGCCATATAACATAAAGTCCCCGACATGCTACACGCCAAGGCATCTTTTTGCAACTTCGTCGCAATATTAAAATCAGTCAAATGAGCATGCCCTGAAAAGATTTTTTTAAATTTTGTTTCTGTAACCTCTCAAAAATGTGCGCACACATACAAATCGAATAAATTAGCTATAAAATGAGAAGCAATGCTACAGTTGAGTGCCGCGATTAAAAAACTCTGTAAACCAATTTACAAGTACAATCGAGTGTAGCGATTTAGATACCCGTTACTGCCTTATACAATTTAAAAAAAAATTATTTCAGCATAAATTGACGCCCATTAATCTGCACTCCTAATCCCAAGTGTTTATCTAGCTTCATTCAACCTGTTACACCCTTTTACGGGTATAATAATATCTTACATAATAGTCTGAAGTTATAAGTCCATATTGGGAATATATAAGCAGTTAACAAAATGTCGTTAATATAATTTCAAGTTTAAGGGGTTCAGTTTTTTTTTTTAAATCGCTATGCAGATATTCTAATTTCAGTGTGCCTTGTGTAGATTTCGAGATGAGATCTCGGCCCTTCCTAAGGGCAGACGTATTGAACAGATGCCATATTTCATAAGCTAGTGATCCCGAAACAAAAACTTACCGGCATCGTCCAATAAAATATTATCGGGTTTAATGTCCCTGTGAACCACTCGGTGCGTTTGCAAGTACTCCAATGCACTGCCAAGCTCGCACACTAATAAGGCCACACTCTGCTCGGAAAATTCCACCTTAGGGGAACATAAAACAAGGCATGTATAGGAAGGTATAGGAAAAGGAGTTCTTATATAGTCTATAATATAGACGAACTTACCCGGTTCTGTAAATGATATCTTAAGTCACCTCCAGTCAAGAGGTCGCAGACCATGAATAAGTCCTCCTCATCTGTTAACGGAAAAATACAAATGTGAGAATACCTTGAGTTCATTTTCTTTTCGATTGCCACTGATCACAAACAGCAACAGACAGGTAGACAAATAACGAAAAAGACAAAAAGAGGCAAAGTTAAGAGTAAGAAGCTGAAAAGCTTCGCCAAATGTATATAACTATATATATTAGATATATTTAGAATTAAATTAACTATTATTAATGAAATGTAACTTTTTAATATAATCAGCATAAAGGGCATGGAATTATATAATTGCAAAATAATTAATGTAAAACCCTTACCCTGAAACGAGAACCATAAATTGACGAGAAATGGATGCTCCAATGATGATAGCAGTTCGACCTCCTTGATGACACCGCCGAGAGCTCCACGCAGTTCGCAGGCAGAGCGGCTCACATATTTCATGGCGTAAAGAATTCCGCTATCCCGCTTTTGAACAATGCAAACCTAAAAAGAATCTTCTAAATAGTTTTTCTTGCAATATCTAAAAACAGATCCTACCTTTCCGAAACTTCCTTTGCCAATGGCACGAAGTATTTGGAAGTGATCAAAATTTACTGTAATAATGTGAAAATTGGTGTAAATATGTGACGATCGTTATATTACCCCCGATCCTAAAAAAACCGTGCCATTTCTATGTACATATATACTTTATAATATAAAGTTTATATTCTATTTCCAGCTACCCACACATCCAAAAGCATCTAATTCGTGCCCATATTTTGGCAACATAGCATAGAGGCCATTCTGGAAGAGAAGTCTAGGTGACAGGATTTTGGAAAAATCCGACTCAACTGAATTCTTTGCCTGGGGCACAGGAAAAATGGAGGTAGAACGTCCACTTGCAGTAGCCACAGCTTGGGAAAATGGTGAACGATCAGCGCTTCGAAGTGATCCCTCCCCAAGTAGCTAAACCTTAATTCGAGCAGTCGGTTGCAGGTGCTCGCTAAGAGGAGTTTGAAGTCATCACCGTGCAGGGCCACCTCAAGAAGGTTCAGTGAGATCTTGGTAAGCTGGTGGCGCCATATGCTACCGAGGAGTGGCCGACAGCGCTTGTAGCTCTGCAGCATAGCAATCTGGTCAGGCAGCTCTAGGAGTCCCAATATTCTCGACAGGCACAGGTCGTCTACTGAATCCATTATCCCCGGTTCACCTAGGATGTGTGAGCTATACATGTATGACCTGTAGAATTTGTACATGTCTTTCTATACCCGGACTACTCCGTTTTTAGAAAATAAAGTGTGTTAATGTGTGTTTTTGTCATTTTATAAATATTTTTAGGCAAACAAAAAAATTAAAAATTGAAAACAAACTATTTTTTTTGCTAATGTTAACTATGATAACTTAAAATAAGTGAATATAAGCTTTATCCCGTTGGAGATAGTGTATACATACCATCCTCATCGCCGAGCAGACTAGAGTTAGATCTGCTCGATGTGTTGGCGCCCATGGTGCTACATTAATGGGTAGATCCTAGGTCAATTTGAAGCACCAGGATCCTTTCTCGGAATCTTCCCCAAATCGAATTGAAACTTTTAGTAATTGCTCACTGTTTCCGTACGTGTACATGTACTTCCTATTGAAGGGAATAAAGGATAGGTAAGATAAATGTAAGCTATAAGAATAATAAAATGGATATTAATTTTAGCTTACAATTCGTAACCACTTTAAAAAAAAAGAAAAATATTGTGTTGATACCTTATATGAGAACATTGAATTTATTTAAATCGGGTTTCTAATTTTATTATCTTAAATTTTGCATTTTTCAACGTTATCAAAAAATAACGAGATTTTTATTTACCGATCAAGAAGAATAATCAGAATGCTTTAAAAGAAAAATTAACTATAACTATAATTAAATTTTTCGGTAATATTTAGTGCTAGTATCTGTAACCCAATTAACCTAACCTAATTGAAAATTAAAGTCAATAGTTTTCAGGGTAAAAAAAAATGATGCACCAAACAAGGTATTTTACATCCAATCATAAAAAATGCTTTAATTACAATTCCAAAACCAACCATTTTTTGTTTCAAAAGTATTTGAGATTCCGACGTTCACACGTTCTGAAAAAAACTTGTTACCCCAAAATACATAACACATAAGTCACATGAAACCTTTTGGGATTCTGACAAGGTGACGCAAGTACATAGATGCTATCAGTCATTTCTATTTTATAAGTTTTGCTCGGAATCAAAGGAAACACACACCCGGGCTTGTTGCACCGGGCGACAGCATGAGCCAAGAGTCAATAGACATCAGAGCAAAGGGCTGTGGTCACGAGGCACTTGTGACCCTGCGCCGTAACGAACTGATCCGGAATCTGCGTGCACTAGTGGCTGTGCGTTTTGAACGGGCTATTCCTAGGATTATTCTGGTCTTCGCTGGCCAGATGCTAAGTGACGAGGGTACCATTGACAGTAAGGGCATTGTGCCCGGAGTCACCGTGCACGTGGTTTGTCGTGCTGAAGTTCCTAGCTGTAGATTTCTGAAGTCAAGCCTTGGCATCAAGGCTTCCAAATCGAGCGAACGCTCTTTGTCTTTGAAATCAGCCAACATTTCCTATCTTAACCATGAGCCCGGTCTGATAAGAAACCTTTTGCAGTCTGATCCTCGGATACGGAACCTTCTGGAAGAGAATGTAGCCATGCGCCACTTTTTAAACAGCGATCAAAACCTACGTGAGATGCTCTCGTTGGCTTTTAGTTCGGCCAAGCAGGAATTGGGACGTCGCCGTGACCTCCACATATCGCGCATGGAGCTTATTCCCGGCGGCTATGAGATGTTGGGTCGCCTGAACTATTGCATGCTTCAGGCTTACGAAGACAGTGTCGCCATGTCCTTTCAGCAAGCATCATATGGCGCCGAAGAAGGCTCAAATCCCCAGCGAGGTCGCGAAGTCAAAGACCCACTTCCTAATCCTTGGCGCCGCACAGCAAGCAGAATCGACCTTAAAAGAATTGGCGTTCTGGCCAGACGCATTCTCGCAGGACGGGCTTCCGCTACCCAACACGAAACTTTTACCAAAAACAGCCCCTTGAAGCAGGAGGCTTCTACTGAACCACAGGTCAAGCGAGTCGACCTTCGTGCCCGCAAACAGGTTCGCTGGATGCAATATTATCGTGTCCAGCTGGAACAGCTGTTTCAGATGGGTTACAGGAACCGCAATCGAAACAAACGAGCTCTGCTGATCTCTCTGGGCGACGTTAATAGCGCTATCAGACTATTGGACCACTGGGATCGGTCTAGGGAAGAATAAGATCCGTTTGTAACACTTTTGTTATGTTTATTTTTGGCTTAAAGTCCGTGACTGCATCCCAATTCAAATGTGCACGATAAAACACTAAAGTATTTCAATATTGTTCTTAAATCTCAGAATGGAGAGTGGTGTGTTACCAGATCTATAATATTTGAAATTCTTTATTTCACCATCCAGCCACCCTTACTATAACTCTCCTCCAAAGCGAATCATTGTTTTCCCATCTAGCCAGGCCCACTCTAACACCAACAAAAACACAGAAAACTCAAAAAATTCGATAATCTGGGGGAACTATAAGAGCTAGAATGATAGGCTTAGGAATAAGTGCTTTAGAGATGCCACTGCAGCTCGATTTAAGTTTTAATCCGGCCACGCCCACTCTAACGCCCACACGCCGCGGAAAACTGTGGCGTCCAGATTTTTCAAATCGGAACACAATTTTGCTATTTTTGAAGAAATGTATGTTATAAGGATTCTCCACATTCCACTTCGGCCACATTTCTATCACTTATAGTTACCGAGATATCAACTTTGTTACAAAAAGCGAAAACCGTTTTCGAGGATGGTTGGCGTAAGAGTGGGTGACAGACGGACATGGCCTTATCGACTTCGCTATTGATACTGATGAAGAATAGGGTCGGAAACGCTTCCTTATATCTCTTACTTTCTTTTCAACGAATCTAATATACTGACGTCACTGTTTCTTTAAGGATTATTAACAGCAATTACTTAATAAGTTCTATATATTCTTATCTAGAGCTTATACCCTTTAGACGGACAAAAAAGCTTTCTTCTATCTGTTACATACTTTTTAACGAACTCTTTATGAGGGTATGAAATTTATAGCAAACACTATAAATAGCACCTGTAGTATTGCTCTTGAATTCCTAACAGCAAAGTTGATCAAAGCCGAGTTGACGAAGAACATAAATGAGAACGGATTAGATTAGCTTTGAATTGAATTAATTACTACCACTACCCATCTGTATGTGTAAAATCCTAGTTCACGTCAATTAAACCATAGGAAAGATGACATCATATTCTTCTCCGGCGCAGGGAAAAATCTATAATCGATGGATCCGCGATTCATGTTTGCGACCGCACTGTTGAGACAAGTGGTAAAGGGCCTTTTAATTTATGTACGAGTATGTTCATATGTATAAGCAGCAGTTGTCACCTGCTTTGCATAATCCAAATCAAAACGAGAGTTGGTGTCGTATTAGCATAGATAAGACATTATTGCAATCGCATGTAACTGCCGAAAGGTAGGACACAGGGAACAGAGAAAAGAGCACCAGAAGTATGTGCTTCTGAGGGCACTCGGAAATCAAGTTGACAGCTATATTCAATGCGAACGAACTAAAATATAGTTCATTGACATTGCCTCTGCCACACAACGGCCTTAAAACGCCTACTCCGGAGTTATGGAAGCGATGGTAATCGCCGTAACGTTCTTAAGGTTAGCTCTTCGATTCCTTTGAACTTATCGATTGTCATCATAAACGAAATGTTGTTCCTGCCTATACATGCATGGCGTATTAAAGTCGGACCCACATATTCGTGCAGCGGTCTTAAGAAGTCCCTCAAAACATGGCACATCTCCGCATACATGGCACTACATGGCCCGGCTCTTGCCAGGCAGGTGTGTATGCGTGTTTTTGTACCTGTACTGATGAAATGAACAAGGCAATTGTTCCTATTGCTCTTTTGATTCCTGTATATTTTATGTGTAACTTGCAAAGGCGAAAAGACACGCGATTGTCACAACACTTAGAAATGCTTAGCTGTTACAGCTAGCTGTGCCTTTACCTTCGCCGTCGGCGAAGCAGGAGCAGAGTGCCGTAATCCTCGTTTGACTGTCGAAACACCGAGTTCTACCTCTGCGAGACTGGGACTGAAACTGTTTTGTTTACAGACTGGCACTCTGCTCTGCCATGCTGCAAACTTGGTCTCAAAGAGAGATTCAGCGCAGGCGCCGTCCTGCAGAGAGTGTCAGGATGGATTCAAAGCGCTTTTGAGCACAGCGTTATGAATGAATGCGAAATAGCTAACATGGCTAGCTATTCTGTATAATTTGGTTACTTTTGCTGCGATGGGGTATGCTATGGCCCCGATTATATAGCCTACTCTTTGGGGCACCGGAAAGGAGGCGCACCATCATGACCATAAATTTATTGATCACATATTTCCCCAGTTACCGGGACTATCCTTCTTCCCCGACTGAATCAGCTCACATCCGGCATCAAAAATATCATACTTTTATACTTTACAATATCATACTTTCAGCCGATTTAAATTATCCAATAAAAATATCTAATATTATCCAGAAATAAAGTGGGATGCGCGTTTTGACCGTTCGTGACTATATATAATACTATCGGTACCATCGTCGACCGACTGAAAACTTTAGTATGTATGAAATCAGAATGCTTTCCGCTGCTGTCAAAATCCGAAGGCAAATAAAGGTTAAAGCGAAAAGCCATGGTCGGGTTTTGATGGTCGTAGGTACTCGTTATAAGGTGCCAAAGCTGGTCATAACATATGCAATGATAATTCACTGTCATTTGGCCCAACGACCATAAAATACAGCAAAGTTGTACAACAAAGCCGTGTTATGACCGCAATGTTGGTCGTTCGGTGTTTTCCCAATTTTATATGCAGACCATCCACATCAATATCAACGTATGTCCTTACGACGGCTTTTGTCGGCCGGGTAGGCATTTTAACTCGTTTTACCCTTAGGGAAAATCTTTGATGGGTGGTAGGAATCGATTACTGATTCTCGTAAATTTGTGCGTGTGACTGACCTTGTTTTGACCCATGGCTAAAAGAAGACTGGTTTGTTAGTAGGTGGGTGCCAATTATTCCAAGCAACTAACTGACAAAAATAAAAATTAGGCAGAGTCCGCAGTTGTCCCTTTGAAATATAAATTTATTAATTTATATTCTATACCTATCGACCACAGAATAGTTCTTAAACTGAAAAAAAAAAGCGGAGAACAATAGTCCTGTTTTTATGTTCGGCTGGCGGATAATTCGTCCTTTTGCGTACTTAGCCATTTATCAAATCGATTCAATAGGTGTAAAGTTATTTTTGAACAATATTATTAATATTTTTATACCCGTTATTCGTAGAGTAAAAGGGTATACTAGATTCGTTGAAAAGTATGTAACAGGTGGAAGGAAGCGTTTCCGACTTTAAAAAGTATATATATTCTTGATCAGGATGAATAGCGAAGACGAATGAGCCATGTCCGTCTGTCCGTATGAACGCTGAGATCTCAGGAACTATAAAAGATACAAAGCGCATCTTATGGTGGTACTATTATCCGGCCAACGCCAACAAGGCTCGGATTTTCTAGAAAAGCTAATATCTCGGTAACTATAAGAGATAGAAAGTTCGGATTAAGCATGTATGCTTAAAATCTGCAAAAATCTCGAAAACTCTAAAAGCTACAAAATTTTGCTTAGGAACACGTATATAATAGATGCCTCTGCAACTTTCCACGAAGTTGCATCCGGCCACGCCTACTCTAACGCCCACAAACCCCGGAAAACTACGGCGTCTATAATATTATTCTGAATGCCTTTGTTTGACCTTGTATAACTTATTTCTGTTAATATCTATCGATTTACCAAAGATTTTTCAAATCGGAACATTATTTCGCTATTTATAAAGAAATTAAGGTTTTAAGGGCTCACATGGGCAGTGACGTCACTATAAGCATACTCAACATACTTCCTCTGACTATAGGTGGCGCCTTGTGAATTTCCACTAGCAAAATTAATATTTTAAAATTGTGTAAAACAGTAACGGGTATCTTGTTGTCGCGGCACTCGACTATAGCGTTTCCTCTTGTTTTTTTTCCCGACTCCCGTTGCTTGACGTGCAACCCATCTCCCGCCCAACCGACCGAGGGGCGCTGCCGTCTGACGTACGGCTCGGAACACGGGGATAGACCCGAGTGGATTAGTAAAGATACGAGAAAAGTTAGTTTTGTGCTAAATGGATTAGTATCGAAACTTTCAAAGTGTTAGAAGAAGAAGAAATGTTATAAAGATCATTGTAGTTTGAGCATAGTGCCCGAAATGGTTCCTGTTGGGCAAAGTTCGAACTACAATGCTCTAAGAATAGAGGAATATAGTTTCTAGTAATCCTAAGGGGTACATGGATATTCAAGCGGCCTAGAAGGGTCTGGCTATCAATTTCACCCTTAAGAAGATTATGGATAAAGACGACACCAAGCATCGTCCTACGATTAGCGAGGGATGGCAAATTGATTAGTAAGAGTCTACTTTTATAAGAGGGAAGGTGTATGTTTGCATCCCAGTTGAGACCGCGGAGGGCAAATATTAAAAAATTCTTTTGGATTGATTCAATAAGGCACTGGTGAATCCCATACTGGGGGTCCCAGATACATGATCCATATTCCAGAATCGGACGAACTAAAGAAATACAAAATGTTTTGGTAACATAGGGGTCGTTAAATTCCTTCGACCACCTTTTTATGAAACCAAGCACTCCTCTAGCTTTATTAACCATAGAAAAAATATAGACGGAAAACTATAGTTTTGCATCGAGTATGATGCCAAGATCTTCAACTACATTAATTCTTTCCAGAGAGTGGTAACTTTAGGTCATAGGCGACAGAAGGTCATTGCTTTGCACTTAGAGCCATTAAGATTTAATAAGTTTGCAGAGCACCAGTTTTGAAAATGATTAAGGTCAGATTGCAGTTTCACCTGGTAGGAGGCATCGGTATATTGCAGACAGAGTTTGACATCATCTGCATACATAAGTACTAGGGAGTCATTAACAACCAAGGGAAGGTCATTAATGAATAAAGTAAAAAGTAACGGACCAAGGTGACTCCCCTGAGGGACCCCGGAGGAAGCATAGACTAAAGCAGACACTGAATTTTTAAAAATAACTCGTTGCGTTCTACCTGTGAGGTAACTGCTAATCCAACCCAGGAGATCAGTAGGAAAACCGATAAGATCGAGTTTTTCTAAAAGAAGGCCGTGATTCACGGAGTCAAATGCTTTACTGAAGTCAGTGTAA